TTTATTCCCGTTGTACGTGTCCATAATCTGATCCAGGGCCTGATAATAGGAGTCCGTGGTCAAATCTTTCAAATGGACGATCTGCCTGTACCGAACTTTCAAATCGATAAAGGAGAGAAAATTGAGACCACAAATATTGACGACATCCATGGCACCTGGTAGCCCATTTCGGTGATGGGACACCAACTCTTCAGGGACTGCATGTACACTCTCGGTAGCTGGTGGTGGACGCTTCCGGGTAGTGGAACCTTTGATCTTGGCCATGTCCTTGCCAAAGATCAGCTCGGCATTATTGATATCCTCCAACTTCATGGAGACTCGTATCTCTACTACTCTTGCGAAAGCTACCCATTTATGTCACTATAGATCCCACCATAATGATTTTTGATTTCTTGACCTATATCCCACGGAACCTAGTTCGCAATTTTAACTCTTTTTTGCTTAGGCCTGGTCCCAGCTGGGTGCCCAACGAAGTTAAATCCGACACCCGACTAACTAATTTATCATTGGTTTTAATTTATCAACGGATTCAAAAATTTATCAGCGGATTGGAAACCTTGTGAAACTTTATCATTGCATTTTGAGGATTTATCAGCGGGTTTCAGTATTTTATTGTTGTCATTTTCATAAAAGCGTTAAACAGTTGTACTCTTGCCACGTTATATGATTAAACTAATAACCCAATTTAGCAAATATAAAATGGCAAACATAATGGCAAACATAAAATTCATGAATTCAATGAATTTATTTTAACTAGTCCGTATCTTACGATTTATTCTCATCAAGGTAGATATCAAATATATTACTTTTAAATAGCTGAATCGATAGAGCACATGTTGCTGAGTAAGCCATTAAATTTGCAACCTCAGAGTGTACTTATTTGGTAGAGTTATGAGTAGTTGAAAATTTCACCCTTTTCTCAGCGAATTCTTTTGACCTGCAAATTAAGACTCTACGGTACTCAACTGGGTAGGATCCTACGTGGAGGATCCTGTAAGATCCTATGTTGTACCTTAGAAAGCACCTCTAAGGCTCTGGTACTGAGTCTATGTAGAATTCTACATACGCACCTCTATTAATTAGGATGGTCCTAATCTGCAGTGGGTCTTATACATAGTGCATATCAGTCTATAAAAAATGACACACTATTGGAAAGCACTTCTAATGCTGATTCTAATGATGTTATACTATAAATGAGGCACTTCGATTCATAACCAACCGGACGACAAATATATCAAATTTGACATGTTTTATTTTTGTGAACGGAATCCAATAATAGCAAAAATGGAGTGGAGTGACTTGCCGGGCTGGTAAGAATGGCAGGCATATAAAATTACTTGGCTAGCACTAGCATAATATTATCTTAGCTAGCGCTGCTCTGGATTGAAAGTAACAAGATGTTAACTCCGTCCACTGAAAACAGTAATAGCAGTCATGATTCTAACTAGTTTAGAAAGGTAGGTAGTTCTGTGTTTTAGTGAATCATAGCAATGGAATTGACGGAAAGAGTGGTATGCGTGAAACTTATAATAGTTTGGTTGAATTGAAACTTCAGAAAATCACTCAACAAGAGGAAGAGTTTAGAGAAAATGGATTTATCTAGAGAAGTCAAGTCAATAATGGCAAGGCTTGAGCAAAGAATTGTAAAAATAGATTTATCTGCAAGGTTTACAATAGAATATGTTTACAATTTATGTTTGATATAAAACATTATAAAATACTGTTTATGTTAGGGTTAGGAATATTGTAATCTAGCAGGGGTAATGAGCCCATGCATGTGGTTGGTTGAGTTATGCCGCAGCAAATCAATACAATTACCAAAATATAGCTGTGCATTTAAAAAGAAACTTGAGCAACAACAATCCAACCATTGACCAAAGTAGATAAGAATCACAAAGACTGCAGCTATGAAAGCAACATTGAATAAAGCAGTGACGAACGAAGCAGCTAACACGAACGAGGTATCCACAGCAGCTGTTACAACAAATGCATCCGCAGCTCGAATTATACTAGAAACGATCAACACCAATACGGCGGCTGGCACCGACACGACGTCAAATACGACAACTGCTGGAGTTGAAGATGATGCAGCTATTACACTCATCGAACTCAACCAGGGAACATCTCCGGGCAAGGCAGAGTATGAGAGATTGATAACCCTTGGAAACGCAAAATTCAATGGAACAGAATTGCAGTTCGACCAAATCTGTGATACTGTGGGTGCTAAGATTGAGAATCTCCATTCCCAGGGTATTGAGAAAAAATTATCTTCGCTCTTCATCCAGTATTTGCAAACAGCCAAAGTGCCTCCTGCTCACTTCTTGTACAACAGAGTCATTATGAGAAACCAGAGGGCATGGACTTTGAAGATTGCGACTGATTTGATTTTGCTATACATTACTTACAAATTTGAGTTGACTCATGCATCTCTGCCAAAAGATAAAAGTGTGCTAAGGAGATCAACGGACTGTGGTTTTGAAATCCATCTGCTTCGCTTGTACTTCTTTTCCAGTCACATTGTATCACCACTGATGGAACTTAAGGAGCAAGACTATGAGCAAATGGTAAGATTGACAATGCCAGAGCTGTGGAAGAAAATGGGGGAGGTGAATCTTTCGGGTTGGCTCACAACAGAACAATTAAAATTTGAGAAGGAAGGATCCTACTCTACAACAAAAATTAATGAGGAAAATTGGAAAGAACTATACGAGCCATTGCTCATTATTTTGGGTGAACTACACAAAGATATTTTTCCAAAAGAGGAAGTCGAGTCGGGACAGGTTCTTTCCAAAAAACCCAAAAGCAAACGTGGTGGAATGGCCAATTTCAAAGGAAAACGAAAGAAGCGACGCCTGGATGAGAGTGAGGAAGAGGCTGAAGACAGTGATGAAGATGAATAATGAGTGTGATGAAGACGAATGAATGTGATCCGATTTGAATCATCAAGGATCATTATGATGCTGGACTTATGTCATCCAGCAAAATATTCCATAGACTAGCTAACTATTGTAGTTCATTGTTGTTGTGGCTGGCATACAACTGTTCCTCTACTCTAATAATAGCTAGCTAGTAGCAACCCCCCCTTCACATTGAAAGTAGAGATAGCACCCGTCGCCTCGACTGGAGCGTTCCTCAATCGTGCATGACTTTAAATCCCTCCCTAATTTAGGGTCCGTTTTTGTGAATCCGTCCCTAAATATAGGGACGTTTTTCAAACCCGACCCTAAATTGAAACCCGACCTTAAATTAGGGACGGGTTTTCAGAAACCGTCCCCATTTTTAGGGTCGGTTTTCAAACCCGACCCTAATATTGGTGCGTTTTCAATGTATTTACCACTCAGTCCCATTTCCATTTAGGGACGTTTTTCAAACCTGACCCTAAATCGAAACCCAACCCTAAATTAGGGACAGTTTTTCAGAAACCGTCCCTAATTTTAGGGTCGGTTTCGAAACCCAACCCTAAAGGGAATCCGACCCTAAATCCCACCCTGTTTTAGGGTCGGTTTCATGCACGATTGAGGAACGCTCTGGTCACTCCTTCAATTCGATTGAATCGAATCATTCGGCCAGATCCGATTGTGATCCGTCTGGACTTGGATCTGGTCTGGATTAGTTAGGTTTGGATGGAGGACACGAGCGGCAGGGAGGCGAAACTCGAGATTTTTCCGTTCAAAAACCTGTTTTAGTCTTTTTCGTGGTTTCGCGATTGCGTCATTTCCAGAGGAAACCACTTAAACGCGAGTTTTACGCAACCTAGAAATCACAGTTGTCTTGTGCTTTAAAAAAGTGGCTACTTTCTCGCGATTTGCTCCTGTAAAATCAGAAATGATAGAAACAATTTAGATTTCGTGTATTTATGCACGACTCGCAATTCCCCACATTTCCAGAGAGCCAATGAGAAAGGGACAACCAACCGGCCCACAAGAAAGGAAAAAGGACCCTCTCACACCCACCACACAGTCACACAGCAAAGAGGTAGGTAAGTATATAAGCGCTTGTCATCCACAAAAAAAAGGAAACAGACACTTACTTGCATACCATTCGTTTTATGAAAGCTCCCAAGCCATATCTAGTGGCATCCCTCTTTCTAGCAGGCAAGTCTGATTTGATAGCACGTAATAATATCCAAAAGAGAGCAATTTGGACGAGCCAGTTGACAATGGCAAGCCCTGATTCCGGCGGTCGAGGCCGAGGTGGTGGTAGAGGAGGACGAGGTGGAGGTCCTGGACGAGGAGACGGTGGAGGTCGTGGTGGTGGAGGAGGCCGTGGTGGTGGTGGAAGAGGCCAAGATCGCAAGGCGAATAAACGTCAAAAGCAACTGGATTCCATGGCCAAAAAGGCAGCCGATGAAGATGCCTATTTTCGCAAGTGTCAAAAGGAAGCACAAAATAGTAATAGTCACCCTAAGGATGACACGAGCAAGACCCGTCAAGACGCCTTGTTTGGAGGACAGCAAATGGTCAAGGGCATTAACTTTGAAAAGTACAATGAAATCCAAGTCCAGGTCAAAGTGCCAGAAGGCAAACCAGTGGTTCCACCCATGGAAGACTTTACCAAGTTGCCACACCTAACCAAACAGCTGCAGACAAACATTCAGTTGATGAGCTATACACATCCAACACCCATTCAAAAGAATGCCATTCCACTCGCCATGGCAGGAGAAGATCTCATGTGTTGTGCTCAAACTGGATCTGGTAAGTCACTATTGATCATTCATGATCATTCACTCTTTTCTTTCTAGCTAGCTCTCACTCACTCATATTGCTTTGCTCCATTGATGATAACATCACATATATACAGGCAAGACATGTGCATTTCTGTTGCCCATTGTGGCAGCACTGGGACAACTCACGGAAAAGGGGGGAAACAAAAAGAGCAACAGCAACAATTCGCAAGGGCAATTAGAACCGGCCAAACCCAAATGCGTGATTCTGGCACCAACCCGAGAACTCGCCATTCAAATTGAAGTGGAGGCGGAGAAACTCACCCATGCCATTCCCTCGTTGCAGCCAGTGGTGGTCTATGGCGGCGCCAACGCCAGGGGGCAACTCAGAGAACTGGCTTTTGCGTCTGCTTCTGCCAACAATCATAAACATCTCATTGTCGTGGCCACACCGGGACGTCTCACGGATTTTGTCGATCGCAATTTGGTGTCGCTGACGGACGTGCAGTATTTGGTTTTGGACGAAGCCGATCGATGTCTCGATATGGGATTTGAACCGCAGATTCGCCGAATTGTCCAAAAGTCGGGCATGACACCCAAAGAAAAGCGGCAAACGTTTCTCTTTAGTGCCACGTTTCCTCCGGCCATTCAGAAATTGGCGGCCGAGTTTTTGCGAAACAATTATGTTTGGATTGCCGTGGGACGCGTGGGATCGACGACCGATTCCATTACCCAAAAGTTGGTCAAAGCGACGGCCGACAAGCGACACAAACTAGAGTTGGTCGTACAGGCGCTTCAGAACGGCCCTCAGGGACGATGTCTTATTTTTGTGCAGAAAAAGCGCACGGCAACGTGGCTCAAGAAACAGCTCAAAAAGGGCGGCCCCGATGCACCAGGACCCCCCAGCAAAGGAGGGCAACAACAAAAGAAACAGCAGCCGCCGCCTCCCGGCAAAGAACTCAAGTTTCCTCCCGTGGAAGCAGAAGAAATCCACGGCGATCGCAGTCAATCACAGCGAGAAGCTGCCTTGGAAAAGTTTCGGGCGGGGAAATGCCAAGTGTTGGTCGCCACGGATGTGGCTGCGCGGGGTTTGGATATTCCGGGTACGTTGTTGTGGAAAAAGATTTGTCATTATGTTGTTTGTTTGCATCTTCTCATGTCTTTTTATTATTTTGTCTATACGATCCAGGAGTGGAGCATGTGATCAACATGGACCTGCCGAATTCGGCAGACGATTTCGATAGTTACGTTCATCGGATTGGACGGACTGGCAGAGCCGGCAATGAAGGGTTGGCCACGTCCTTGTTTGTCCCTGGGGATAATCCCAAATCAGACAATGGACGAATTGCGAGTCTCCTCTTGAATCAACTCAAAGAGTCCAAGCAAGAAGTCCCACCTTGGTTGGCCAACCTTGTTGTCGGTGGCGGTGGAAACAAGGGCAAACCACAATTCACCAGTACAGATGTACGAAAGAATACGAGCCGTCCCGCGAAAAACAACAACAACGAGAACAAGGATGGCAGCGGCGGCAATCAGGCAGAAGGAGGACGAGGCAAAGGTCCCGGTAGGGGCCGAGGAAGAGAAGGGCGTGGACGGGAGACAGACGGGGGCAACAGTGGAAGCAACTCAGACAACGCATCCGGAAGATCCGGAGGGAGGGGTGGACAGCGAGGTCGCGGTCGAGGCGGCACTAAAACAACAGGAAACAATGGCAACGAGGACAATGGTGGCAGAGCTGGAGGAAGAGGCGGCAGAGGAGGCCGTGGACGTGGAAGAGGCGGGCGTGGTCGAAGCCAAAATTCTGGAAGAGACGGCGCCGACTAGAAGATATCAACTCCCAAGCACCGAACAGAAAGAAAAGCTTACACTGTACAGCGCAGAACACCGGATCATCGTCAGCCAACAAAGCAATCGATTGATAATTCTATTTGGGTGGGAACTGCAGCTACTAAGAAAATGTTAATAAGCTACTGATCATCAATAGCCTTCGTGTTCGTTTGCAAGCTTTCTCCAGCGAGGCCAGCATCTCTAGCAATTCAAAAATTGTGACTCTATGCAGCACCCCACCAGCTAGACTAGTTGAATCCAATGGGGCCTCGTCTCGGCTTCTGTGCCCACCACCAGCAGATAGTAATGATCCCCACTCGTCACTGCTCCGTCACTTGCTCTTGTTATTTGTATCTGGCTAGAGTCGGAATACGGCTTGCTAGGATCGCAAAGATTGGAGGATCCTCCTCGGGGTGCCAAATGTCCTGTAGCCGGCGACACTGTTACAATACAATCCGTTGGTTGTTGCTGTGATGACTCATGGCACCAAACTGCTGTATCATCTAGGACTGTTCCATCACTGGCAACTTGCACGACTTTGCTGTAGTAGTGTTCCCACGATCGTTCCTCATTGGCAATGGTAATGGCTGTAGCTTCTTCCAAGGCAACGGACAGGATGGGGTATCTTTGCAGAGGAGTCAGTATGCCCAGTTTTGCCGACGTGCCCATTCGTTCTGCCCAAGCGGGCACATTGCCGTCATCGTTGTTGTCATAGATTACACCTTCGTTGGGGTCGGACGCGTAGAGGGACTCTGCAAATTGACGACCAGCAAAGGTGGCCCCACCAGCTTGTTCAAATTGATACTTTCCTCCGTGGACCCCTTGGACATAGTCTCCCACCGACGTATCGTCATTGTTGTTGTCCAAGTCAGCTTTTAATTGAATTGCGCGAAAGTTTCGGTGGCAGCAAGATGTGGGTTGACTCGTCCAGGCAAAAGCCGTTCTTACGCCTGCAACAACCACAGCTGTTGCAAACAAAGTGACCGGTGTTCGATTGACCATTATTCGTCCTTGTCAGAGAGATGTTGCACTGGCTAGCTAGCTTGTAGTAGTGGCTGTTGCGGTATTACTTCTGAAGGAGATCTCTCAGGTTTGGCAACCACAGCACCACGACATGAGGTGCGAGGCTAATGGGAAGGGAAAAATGAGGATGACGTCATCGGAATGATAATAAGGTCCCAAGCCAGTTTTCTTTACCCCAGTTTTGCCAAGGTTCAATCACGCTTCAGTCACATCATCAACATCGAAGGTCCAGCACTAGTTCTGGAGTGCATTCTAGCTAGCTATTAATAGCCCGTGTTGAGCCTAAAGTGGGATCGAGTTGAGTCTAGACTGATGCCTGGTGTGGGGCCTGGAGCTGGGCCCATGAAGAGGCTTCGAGCCGATCTTTGTGCTAGTCCTGTAGCTAGCTAGTGGGTCCGGAGTGGGGTTTGGAGAGGGTGACCATCATCTATGATATCTCATTGATTCCACTTGACGGTCTCCGGAGATGTTGGTTGCGGTGGGCACGGGGGAACGACAGTCATGTCATCGATTGGATGCTCGTGTTCGTGGCTGGGCAGAATGCACTGATGGTGCCGCTTAGTCCGCATCTTGTACTCGTCCCCTCCCGACAATTCGCGTGAATACGCCGACGATGCCAGGCTGATCTGACTCTGCATGCAGTTGCTGCAGATATGCCGTCTGAGAAAGAAGGAATCAGCGTGGCCGTCGTCTTTGGGTTCTCCAGCATGGATACTATCTATCATTATTCTCGCAACTACCAAGAGCAATTTTCAAACCGCGGATTGTGCTGCTAGCCATATATTTGTCATCCTTGATTACGCTGCTCCCATCGGCTTGACAAAACTAAACATGATCATGGCATTCTCAAGACAGAGCGAGTTCCAATAGGGCTCTGAAAAAAAATGTCCCAGGGGAGCCCCACCTAGAAAAATGATGATCATGGAGGCAAAAAGTGTAGGAACCTTGTCCCAAAAGGTCAGGTACTTGACCAAGGGAGAGTACTCCACAGCAATGCCTGCAGCTTGCCATATGAAAAACAAGGTTGTCGTGAAGGGTCGAGGCATGTAGCAATCGACAGATGTGTTTCTCGCATTCTCATCCGACAAGCATCCTTGTGCATCATCGATTGGAAGCATGAAATACCACAGCAGGACTTCATGAAATAACCCGCTGGCAACAAAGGTCGCAATCATGGCAATGTGCTTGGAAAAATACTTGCGTACCGGCAGATAGACACCCATTTTCAGCACATTGTGGATGACAAGGTTCCATTTTCCTCCCCAAAATTTTGAAAAGCTGCGAGATGTCAAGAATGGATTGTCCATGGCAGGGCAAGCCTTGACACCTGTGACAATGTTTTGAGCCACAAGAAAGCCATAACACATGACTGTGACACTGGGACAGATGAAACAGATATAGAGTAGATTGCGCAAGAGTGTCCTCGGTAGAAAGGCAGAGGCGATGCTGTAGTAATCGGCATCCGGTTTTCCAGTGGCAAAGGGTGGTACAATGTCGGGGATCAAGGAATACAATGATTTCATAAATGCCATAACGATGAGCAACTTTCCAAATCCCTGCAGCTGGACGAGTACTTCTGCAAATGTGTTGGGAGTGTATTTGTCGAGCTTTTTGTTCCATTCCATCGTGAATGGGACAGTGTAGTAAAAGGCAAAGCTCTTGATCGAGGCGGTGGCGTATTTTGGCAAAAATCCAAAAGCTGCAGCACTGGTTTTGAAAAGGCAGGTCACTGGCATGATAGCTCCAATACAGAATCGCATGAATTGATTGCGGATATTGAATACGAAGAACATGCCAAAGGGGATCAAGTAGAGGAGCGGGATTGCAATTGCGAAGCAGGAGATCATGGAGAACCAGGTGCCTTGTTTTTGGACAACCACCTTGTACACAAAGACTGAGAGGAGTGCCACAGTGATCGATTGTACAGCAGTGAACTATACAGTGAGAATCAAACAATCAGGAAGAATGGTATCATGGGTGAGAATCAACACTGAGGTATCAACTGTATTTTTCAAAACCATGAATCTTCGTCTTCCATTTTACGTACCGCAAGGAGCTCACACCATGCCATCACATTCATGAAATAGAAGCCCCATTCTTGACCAAATAATTCAAAGGTCAAAGCTGGTTCCCGCAAATCTCGAGTCCACATGTGAGGAGAATCCTCCAGAAAATAGGTTGATATACGTTCCATCGTTGTCATTGTTGCTACCGGTATTTTCTCTATTGGGTAGAATGAATGGACAATTTGCTGTCTCTTGTTGGGCGAAGCTCGGGGTTTTGAGTATTGTACTGTGCAACCTTTGCTTGTCGTACAGGATGTCTGTGCACTCTTTGGAGCCTTCAGGCAAGGCTTTGTTGGGGCGGTCCAGATTGCCTGAGCAACAAAGAGGGGCTTTACTATTCACGGTCACTGGGAAACCAAAGCCCATTCAAGCGAGCGAGGTGCGTGGCGAACTTCTACGTGAACGGATTTGCTGCCACTCAGGACTCGGCAGATCAGACACAAATTGAATCCAATCTGGCAGAGCTGTAAATTTTGAATCGTCAAGCGATTGGTGGTAGGGTACTAGTACCGGAAAGACGCCATGCTCGCTGTGTTCAAACATTAGTGCTTTGAATGCTACCCAACCTATCCATGACTCCTACTTTGCTTGAATTGATGTATTGCTAAACAAAGATTGGGCGCCCACGCCAATCAGCTAGAATTAGCTATTCAGTTCCTGAAACCCCCGGGTTGGATCACTGCGTGTGAAACGTCGCCTACTTACTTCTCGGAGGGCCTCGACTACAAGTTTTTCGGTAGACAAACGCCACCCTTCTTGGGGAAGCACCTGCGCCCGTGGTTGCTGCCTGCTATCGTGGCAATCCCGGAGCCTTGCGTGAAGCGTATCAGGCCATACTTGGTGATTCGATCATGACGATTTGGGTCGTTGCGATTGCGTCTGTCAAAGCCACAGAGATACCAGAAGGGTCCTGTATTGCATTTTTCATAGTAGGGAGGAACTCCTGGCTTGTAGTCACGACCTGCGTTCTCGTCACAACAAACATCTGTTGGGTTCAGTTCCAACACCTCTGGGAAGTTCTCCTCAGTCAGAAATTTTCCCTTCCTGGGAGACATCCCTCTGACGTCTGATTCATGAGGAAGATTCTGCCATCGATGAGGCAACACAACCGCCCCCATGTCAACTTGTGCTTTGATGGCTTTCAAAGAGCTTTGCCTGGTTTGTAGAATAGAATCTGGCTCAGTGAGATAGATATACTGCCAGTAGGATGGATTTTGTGTGGTTCCCAGCCAAGCAGTAATGTTTTGGGCCATTCCCAAACTCCTGTCGTTTTCTGGTACTTCAGTATACTTCATAGCATCTCTAAGGGTCATTAGAGTGGCCCTGGGCATGTTTTTGGGCATAAAGTTTGTTTTTGTGAAGGCTGTAGAGGCAAAGGCATATCCAACCTCCATGTGCCCAATCTTGGTAATGTCATCGCCAGCCTTTTTATTGCTAGGCTCCACTGCATCAAGGACATATCGGAAGGCATGCTTGATCATTGGAACGTCATCCTCCTCAAGTACGCCCACAACAACTCTTCCCATCCCCGCTCTTCTCAGTGACTCCACTGTGGCAGCCAGAGACAGAGCTGTCAGTTTGTGACCCATCTCAGGTTGATTCGAATGGCCATATGGTAGGTAAGCAATCACCGCAAGGGTATCTTCAATACCAGTGCGTCATCTGTTTCGTTGAACATGAATTGTTGTGCGTTTTCAATGTACTCTTTGGTTTTCCGCGCGAATGAGTTGAATGGAATATGCTCCCCCTCTAGGTCCCATTCCAATATCTTCCACCACTTGCTCAAGTGTTCCACACTCCTATTGTTGAGCCAAAGATCATTCAGAGAAGGATTAGTGGATTGCTTCTCGGAGGGAGTCACGCTGTAGGACATCTATATTCCAACCAAGTATCGATATCACAGACTTACCAGTCCATCCAATCCAGCGTCATGCGCATTTTCCACAGTCTCTTTCCATAGTAAGCACTAAAGGAAGCCTGCTCGCAGGCCCGGACTGTCTCCAGTGGCTGTGCCATGAAGTCCGCTCTGGATTGAATCCAGCTCGCCGAAAACCCATCGACAAACTCAAGGTGGCTGCTGTTCAGGAAGTGGACCTCGCGTTTCCTTTCTGGTACGGTTTTTGTCACCTCAAGCTTTCGTGAGGGCCTCCCGGTTTCCAGCGAATTCGCGTTCATTAGTGACGGTGGGGCATGGAATTTGTATAGCTTGACGAGTGTGATAAAGTTTAGCCAGAATAGTGGTATTATCCAGAAGAACAACCGTACATGATGATGGCTGCTGTGATTTGTGTCAATTTTCATGACATCTTTTGAAGTAATGTTTCTATAGTATAGATACAGTTTCATTGTCTACAGGGTCGTGTTGTTGTGCCTGTTGTCTCTTTCTGTTGCTTTGTTGGGATCTTGCTCGGTTGTGCCAATCTTTTGTGGAGATTATGGCCTGTCTTGGCAGTTGCGTTGGTTGTTCGTTGCGTTATTCGCACTTCGCGGATTGAGCAAAATGCTTGGTCGTTGTTCACCTCACTGAATGCGAACCGAAGCTCGGGAATGGAAGCCAATAATTTGTTCGCGTTGAACCTCCTGTGCGGTGCGGTAGCGCTTGGTGGATACTGTGTCTCTGGGCATATCATTCTCCCTACAACTTACTCCAGGTTGCATGCACCTTGTCTTCCAAGCATGAGAGTTGGCCGAAAAGCTCGTTGCAGTTGTTTGTGGCCAGAATTGTTGAACCCAAGCTTTGCCAGCAACAGACCCGTTTCCTCTGGACTGACAGCAAGTGACAAGGGAGCAGTGGCAGCGAAACCTCTTACTTTCGTTCGTTGGTGGCTACTAGGGCTGAGAGAAAACCGCGGGGGAAGGTTCAAATCACACAATAATACCTTGCAGTTGTCACGGACGTTAAAGAGCGCGAGAAATGAAAGGTCGCCTCCTCAGGATCGCCGTTGATCAAGCCCCCCCTCGCAACGTGATCGTCTTTCTTCGGTCACCCATGTCTATTAAAGAAGCTATTAGAGACTACAGTTGTCCTGTGCAGCAGACCAGCGACAAGATGGGCGTGGAAGAGTTTGGCCCTTTCACTAGCTAGCACTTTAGGCCAGGATGCTCATAGCCGCGAAGCACTGCTGGCATTATATTTTGCGTCATCTCGACCTCGAAAGCAAGAAAGTAGAAGAGCCGGGAAGCTAACATTTTCTAAGCTGTCATCACAAGCAGAGGTGCGAGGTGCGAGGTGCGAGGCAGAGGTGCGAGGCATACCATACTGGTACGGTAGGGGCGAGCAGCAGTCAGTCCATCACCCATCATCGACCTCATACCGGTACGGTATCTCCTAACCAGTCTAGCTAGATCTCGAGTACGACTGACATTGTGAGCGTAGTAGGAGTTAAACCATTATGAATTCCACAATAGATCATTCCACAACATGTACTTAGCACTGTGAGTGCATTCCTGTCTGCCGCCTATCGGTGGTGTCTCCAGACAAAAATGAAAATGCTGCTTGCATTGAACAAGCATCCAGAGTGATTCTGATCTGGACAGGGGGTAGAGAGCACTACATACAGCCTGTGCATATGAACAGGGAGGATGCCCGCAGATTGAGAGCAAGGCCAGCCATTTTTTTTTGCCTGAATTCAAAAACGTCCAATTTCCTGTGCAATCGAACAGGATAGCGACGCCTGTTCAATTGCACAGGAAATGGACGGCCTGTGCAATCGAACAGGATAGCGACGCCTGTTCAATTGCACAGGAAATGGACGGCCTGCCTGTTCATATGTACAGGAGGCTGTACATACCAGGAGCTCGACGTCCTGTTCAAATGCACAGGAATTGTGACGTTTTTTTTCTGGGTAGGCTTTCACAGTAACACATAGATCTGCCATTACGTTCAGCATTACAGTCAAGCATGTCCTCTGCAAAGAATAGATGGTTGCAACTTCCTGTGTTTTCTTCTTCTCAGATAATGAACAAGAAATCAGGAGAAATGAAGTCCAAATCTCTCAGTGACAAACCCAAAGCCACAAGCCACAAATGAATGCAAGAGCCAGATATGATAGTGGTAGTAGTGGTGGTAGTAGTAGTGAAAGGATCAGTTGTTCTTGTTCTTATGCTTAAGCTTCTGCGAAATTTGCACAGGCGCTTGTGCAATTGAACAGGAGGTCGGATCCTGTACAATTGCACAGGAATCGCGTCAATCCTGTACAATTGCACAGGAATCGCGTCGCCTGTACAATTGCACAGGAATCGCGTCGCCTGTTCAATTGCACAGGAATCGCGTCGCCTGTCAGGCCAAAATTTGGCTGCAGGCTGGCTCTCTAAAAATCCTGTTCATATGCACAGGCAGTATGCAGAGCTCTCTACCCCCTGTCACTAGTAGTACTGTAGTTGAGTCGAGTCAGGGTCCCGAAGAGATCTGTGACTGGCTGGCGTCCTTGTCGACTACCGCGGGGATATTACCAAAGAGCATTATTCAATAAAACCTTGCGGTGGCGGACGACCCGCAGGGTTCCTGTGAAGCAACTCTACGACATAAGTCTTTCTCGAAGCAAGATTGATCGGAATTATGGTGTTCTCCTGTAAATGCACCTACAGTATTAATAAGTCCTATAAATTGATTTAAAATATTTTGTGATTATTTCCATAAATTTGAATAAAAACAAATCTAATGGATTGAACAATCGAAATGATATGAATCTGCGAAATACACAATTTATCCAGAATGGGCTGCAGCGTGCAAGGTTAGATTGGAAGATATTTTGTTCATTTACTAAACTTTCATAGCGTTTGTTGACCAAATTGATAGATTACCATTGGACTTGAATTGTGATATTGGCTAAAACAGATACTGTACAATTACTATTAACCCCAATACATAAATCTTTCTGGATGCAAGATTGGTTGGAATTAGAGTGTTCACCTTGTAGATGCACCTGCAGTATTGTTAAGTCCTACAACGGATTTGAATGTTTTGGTGATTATTTCGGTAAATTTCAATAAAAATAAATCCAATGGATTGAACAATCTAAATGATGCAAAGCTTCGAAATGAATGATTTATCTAGATTGGGCTTTATCAAGCTAGGTTACATTTGGAAGATATTTTGTCTATTTTATTAAACGTTCTTATCGTTTACCGACCAAATTAGTATTTTAAAGAATACCATTGGATTTGAATTGTAATATTGGTTAAATGGTTACTGTACAATTTACTGTGAACCCTACCACATAAGGCTTTCTCCATTCTGTTCTCCTGTAAATGCACCTTTGCATATGCAGGAATCGGGCGACTTACCAATTCACAGGGCACTGGGCACTATGCATAGACTTCCCAGTTTTCGGTGGATCCAACACGGAATTTAATGTCGTCGTTGCAGCCACACATGTGCCTCTCCTAAAAGCCTAAAAGGGAGCCCAAGGCAATCCACAGTTCGTGAATATCGCGTGGTGATCCACGGCGCCTGCTGGAACCGACATGAAAGAAGTGTGCGTGTTTCCATGACCATAAAAAAGAAAAAAGGTTTTGCAAAAGGGGAACTAAATCTGATGCTTTAGCCACAACTCTAGCCACCACGTTAGCCACACGGTACCGGTACACAACATAAGAGGCGCCATGATGGATGATGGATTCCAGTACCACTGAGATCCGCCAGGAAGTAGCAGCCTCTCAAGATGAAGAAAACGCAAGCACGGTTCTCCTTTCGGATGTGCTCGAGAAATACCAAACGGCGGTCGATCCGCTCGTTCGGTTGCGTTGCCTTGTCGCCAACACAACACCTTCCGAGCGTACAGACATTGTCAAGTCAGCAGTCCTTTTTTGCCGTGCAGGCCCTAACACGGCACCGCCCCTGTTCCCAATCCCTCTTGCCGGAATCCCTCAAGGCAGCTGCGTTCGTTGGGGACCCCGCCGGAAACAGCACGGAACTTTGATTCTCTGGCGCTCAACAAGTCGCGAATTGGGTTGCAGCCAGACACACAATCGCGTGCTTATGCGGCCGCAGGTCCTTTGGTTCGATTTGTGATTGAACTCACATCGGACAATGGACGCCACTGGTCTGAGCCGGTTCATATTTTCTGCTGACTTGACTCACCTCTTCTAACGTTAACAACACTCTCGTGGCAGGATTTGACGACTGAGACATCGCTCGAGGCCAAAAATCTGGGAATTTGAAACTAAGTTTGGGGTACATCGTACCCGCATGCATGCATCATTGGGGATGTGCAATCTTACCTATAGAGCTATGTTGCCGTGCATGGGTAGCAACCGTCCAGAATGCTGAATTGACGTAGTAACCCACCTTCATGTACAGCATGTAATAAAGTAGCTATAGATTATTGTGGGTAGACTTCAACGTGTAGTTGCGTTTGTCACGTTTTGTGTGTTGGTTCGGAGCGTACGATAGATACCTCCTCCTTATTACTTCTCTCTTTCTCGCTCTCTCAGTTCTAGCTAGTATTGACCGTGGATCCAGCCAGCCATGCATTGTCGCACTTTGTCCGGTCGTCAAGCAAACCATTCTTATTTCTAACACTCCACTTCATTTTCAATCGATGAGGATCTTCCTCGCAGGGCCCAACTGAATCGTTTCTTTTTGAGAGTAGCTTCCTTGGCTTGTTTTGGATTGCGCTTTTTCTTGGGCACCAAAACCAACTCTTGGTCATTGGGTTCTTCCACTTCTACGACAGACTCTGCAAGCGCCTGTTCGTGACGCTTGGCCAAACCTTCGTATGCCATTCTATAGGTGGGACGAGCCTGGATGCGCTCCAACAAATCCACCAACGTTGGTGCCTCCTCGGCAATCAATCCCAATGCGTGGGCATTGCCCAACGGTTTGGCGGCCAACAAGTCAATGACCGAAATGTTGTCTCCCAAAAAGTAGGGTTTATCGCCCAGTGCCGTGGCCAATGCCGGTCCCATGCACGCATGACACTTTTGTTTGGCCGCGGCCATGTATTCTTCGTCTAGATTTTGACCATGAGTGAGAGCATGAATGTACATGCTGGCAATAAACGGATAGACCGTTGCAATAATGAATTGCTTGAGTTGGAGATACTTGGTTCGGAGTCGAATTTCGTCCGGTGTCGATGTGGGTGTGGTAGGAGGAGGATGGAACTGGTAGTCCGTGTCGTGACGTTCCAAGAGATAGTCCAAAATAGCACCGCTTTCCCACATGCAGAGTCCCATTTGAGTGCATTGAAATGCCGGCGATGTGCCCATGGTGTTAATGGCCAAGTGTTCGGGTTTCTTGAGATCGGCAAATGACATTTCCTGTACTACTATCGCGCCTTGATCGATCAAGTCCAATTCAAGAATCAGTTGCACCAGAGGCGACGAGATGGTGCGAGGAACATGATACAGAGTGGGTGGCATCTTGCTTGACAACCTTGACAAGTGACAAACGCTGGAAGATGAGGATGAAGATGAAGCTGTCTTGCTGATTGAACGCTGCTGCCTACCAGTCCTTTTGGAAAACCACTCGCCGGGTAAAAGTGAGAGAACACCGCCGGTTGTATTTTCGTGTCATGTTCATCGTCATCGTCACCTTTGAGGTGGATTGATCTTGCTCAAGCAGACTTGAGGAGATTGTTGTTGTTCTCTGCAGGTTGTCGCCTGATGCCACGATGCCACTACCAATGCTGCAAAAGCGTTCGGGTTCAACGCACAACCAATAACCCTAACCCTAACGGACGTCTCTGACCTCCATTGACTTTCGTCTTTCTCAAAAGCCTCACGAGGGGAGGCAAAGAAGATGATGACAAAGAAGAGGACCAGGAGACGCCATTACAGAGACAAACTCGCGTTGGCTGGTTGCAGAGTCTGTAGTGATGGATCAGCGAAAGACACACAAGTTGCGGCGTTTCCAGTTCTATCTTCCGTGTGTATTGCTTCCAGATCTCATCATGGCGTCGCTCTCTGCCGCGTCGAGCCCCCAACAGCATCTTTCAATCCGAATCCAGAAGATTCAGTCAGTAGTAGCGATGGAACAGCTTTGTGCTACGATGATTCTGTCCAGATTGTCCCATGGGGATCATCAGAAGAAGAGCTGAAGGCATCTCATGGCGATGACATGAACAAGACGAAAATCTTGGAGGCGATACGATCTGTGTCAGTCCGGCGGTACAGGGCTTCCTTCGAGGATGACGACACCAAGACAGTTCCGCTAGTTTCTCTACCAACCACTGGAAAATTCCTTGCAGTGGTTTGCCATGAACAGTTGGAAGAGGGAAAAGCCAGTGGAGAAGATGATCATTTTGTGGCAATACATTCTTCCTTTGAAGCAGTTGTGCCACTCGTTTCCCTCAGAATCCGCCAATTGAACATCATCACCACTACTACTGATGATGATCATTCCAATACTCTTTGGCTAGCCAATATCAAACGACAACTTGCCGGTATTCATATCGCGTTTAGAGAGGGTGTCATGACCACAAAACTGAGGCTTTCAGATCATCATGCCTTGTCAAGAACCGAGATCAACTTTGTCGTCGAGAGCGCAAGTAGTGCTGCCGGGACGGAGGATGCCGGGGTACGTAACTTTTTCTCAACTCTTTGTTCGGTCTGTGAGGAAATGTTGATTGTTCTGATGATTGCTTGCTGTATTGCTGTATTGCATTGTAGGCATTGCTGTATATGATCATGCCCAGTACACGAATCTCCATCGTCCAAGAAAAGCCGCCGACAGAACCACCAAGCATTGTCCTCCCAAACAACAACTGCAATGACACATCAATCAGCGAAGTTTCTACCATGATCATTCAGACCGTGCAATGCTTGAGAGGTGCACAAAAGGCACCGGTACCAAGGTCCTTCCTGTTGTCGGGGCCACCGGGTGTGGGTAAGTCCGTGGGTGGGCAGTTTGTTTCCACCATTTTACGTTGCGTTCCACCGCATTGTTGAACCCATGACATTTTCTTTTCTTATTCTTGCAGGCAAGACATTTGCGGTAAAGAGAGCCTATGAACTATGCCAAACGAGTGGTCCCACACTGTTAGAGTCGTTGGGTTCCCTCGTCTTGAGTTCGGCCGGAGATGGAGGTCCCGGTGAAGTCTGCCGGGTTCTCACGGAACGCTTTGAGAAAGCTGCCGCAACGTGCGACAAGGACGCCGACAGCGTGGCCATCCTCTTTGTAGATGAATGCGATTCCCTCTTGCAATCGGAAATGGTGGCAGCCGTATTCTCGTCGCTCTTGGACCAAACAACAACAACATCAACATTTGACCGTGGGTGGCAGCGGATCGTGGTAGTGGCAGCCACCAATCACACGGAAAGCCTTCCATCCTTTCTACGACGACCTGGCCGATTGGATCAGGAAATTCACGTAAAACCTCCTGCGGCAGACGAACGAGCCGAGATTCTCCAATCTCTAATGGCAAGCAATACTATGATGGGTGGTGGAAGGGCAGCAGTTTCTTTGAGGCCCGATGCCTTGAGAGATTTGGCAGAATTGTGTGTTGGTTATGTGGCTGCAGATTTGGTGGCATTGGTTCGCCAAGTGCTGTCACTGGCATTAGAGGAACAGCCCAACTTTGTATGGGCTCCAGAACTGTTTCAACGAGCCATGGTCGATGTCAGGGCTTCGTCGCTGAGGGGCGCGGCTTCGTTTGCTCCGCCCAAGGTACGATGGAATGATATAGGCAGCGACCCGGCTGGAGCCCAGGTAAGTATTTTGTGAAACACTACAAGCATGCGGAGTCACCAGCTGTTTGTCCCAAGAAGATTCGTCTAACCGAGAACTGCTCGATTACGCTTGTTTGCTTCGTGCAGGATACACTTCGTCAAGCCATTGAGTGGCCTCGCACGAAACGGGAAGCATTCCAAAGCTTGGGGCTACAGTCACCGGGTGGCATTTTACTCTACGGACCGCCCGGCTGTGCAAAGACAACCTTAGCGAGGGCAGCTGCTGGAGCTGCCGGAACGGCTTTTGTTTCCTTCTCTCCGTCCGATGTCTATGCATCGTCCTACTTGGGTGAAGCAGAAGCGGTGATTCGTCGTGCCTTCAAATTTGCCAGATCCGCGTCGCCTTGCATCCTTTTCTTTGATGAGATTGATTCGATTCTGGATGGAGGAGGAGCGTCAGAGTATGGAACCAACCGTTCAGGTGGAGCCGAGTCTCGAGTCTTGTCCACGTTTCTCAACGAAATGGATGGAGTGGATGGGTCTAGTCAAGATGGTGTACTCGTCTTGGGAGCCACCAATCGTCCTTGGACGTTGGATGCCGCACTGATGCGTTCAGGGCGCTTTGACAAGGCGATATACGTTCCTCCACCCGACTACCCAGGCCGTCTGTCCATTCTAAGAATATACTGCAGAGGTTGGGACATTAGTGAGGAGGAACTTGAAGAAATCGCAAGCGACAGAGTATCAGCAATGATGACTGGGGCCGAAATTGTCGGGGCTTGCCATGCGGCAGCACTGCTGGCTCTGAAGCAATCGGTCAAACTAGACAATCCGCAAGAGTCTGTGAAAGTAGCTGCAGAGCACCTGACGGAAGTGTTCAGGGCAACTCAGCCATTCTTGTCGAGTGAGGACGATTTGGCTGTATTTCTGGACTTCGAACGCAGCCGAAAATCGCAAAGCAGCAGTGCTGGCAAGTCTTGACTTTGTTGAACATCAGGATGCACGTCCAAAGACAGACACCGTGCTGTTGCTGCTGTTCACCGTTGCTCTGGACATGCATGTCAAGTGTGCATCCAAAACGCAAAAACTTCCTCAAGTCCCTGAAAGAATTTGCTTGGCATCAGGTGCAACACATGCTTGGCTTGGTCGGAGTGTAGCCTTTACAGGAAAGGTGCAGTCTCATGGCTGCAATGGCATGTGCAGCCAGCAGTACACGATTGTGCGTCTTGTTCGCACCTCTTCTGTATACCAGTACCGGTACCGGTGCCGACACCACCACCAAGCAATACGGACTTTCGCAAATGAAGACGATGTTGTCGTTGTCGACCAAGTTTGCTGCTTGCTTGGGTGAGCCACATCTCGTTCTCTAAGCCAGAGGGCATTCCGAGCTTTGCGTGGATACTATTTGCCAGCAGAATCTTGTGTGCAACAAACAACTATCTAAACAAGCGAAGCCTGCCACCTGCAGCTCTCATTGCAAGCAGCCAAAAAGCCTGGAGGGTGGAGGATGTATGCGGGGGCCGGCAAGTGGCAAGGCTGAACCTACCAATACCGTTCCGTGTTAAATGTACCACTGGTTGTGGAAGACATTCTAGTCAAAGTAAGTCCTTAATTATTTGAATACAAATTGAAGTCCTAGTGCTCTTTTGTTTGTATGATTTAAGCGATGCGCGAAGGAGTGATGCGCATTCGAATTCTGCATGCACCTGAAGGGCCTCTTCATAAACCGTGTGAATCCCGTCTTTGTCAACCCAAACAAACCAGCATTGTCCCCTTTTTTTCAAGGGGTCAATCTTGTGACACAACCATTTTTCAGGGATAGCCTCGTCAACCCCCAAATTTCGAAAGATTGAACCTTCATTATTTTTGATCAACCTGCAAGCAACTTTACACGATACCGATTGTGAAAGCAATGGAAACCCCTCTAAATAAACCTTGCTACTGAGAGAGAAGCTGGTTTTGTCCTCCCATCTTCTCACAATTCGCAACAAAACAAAGCAACAACCGCAACCACAACCAACGGGACCACACAATACAGACAGCAATGCCATACACGCTCAACAACATGAACCAACACTTTGATGGAAATTTCAACGTCTACGTCAATCCCAAGGGAAAGAGAATGCTGCATCCTGGCTTTCGACCAGGCCCCTACGATGTTATCTGTGCTCGAGGAAAGCAAGCGTTTGATCACGAGGGCAACAAGAGGTTTCGTGCCATTGTCAAGATGAACAGGGATGCCTACGCCGATGCATTGACCAAGTACCACAAGTCTCAAATTGTTAGCAAAATCACATGTGCCATCCGACATGCAAGTCCAGACGGTGGATTCGTCAAACTCATCAACAATCGATGGCACGAAGTGGGAGACCGCACAGCCAAGGTACGAACGGAACATGCCTAAGAATGTTGCTGCTACACTATCTTTTGATATCATTGTTCTCACATTTTGCCTTGCTTACCGTATCCGCCACTACAGGAAAAGATTGGTCAGACATTCAGAGATCTCCTGGACCAGCAGTATTCATCATCTACCAAGGCCAAGGCCCGTGCCCGCATCCAACGCCGTGTCGATACCTTCGGATCAGACTCCCCAGATCAGTCTGAGACATCCAAACAAGATGAAGAAGAAGAAGCTGAGAACATGAGCACGGTCTCGGTCGTCACTCACGAGTCTACATCCGAACGCAACAAGAAGGACAGCAACAGCACCCCAGATCACGTTGAAATTGTCAAGGTCGAACCACCACAAGAACCATCATTGTTTGATACATTCAGTCAGCTCATTGACAACTCACAAGCGTCCGATGACTTTGAGCCTTTGCCTTTGGACTATCCCACATTTATTGCCACAGAATCAGACCATGCCGCCTCCAGCGACGACGAATCACTGGATGAACTGCAAGATATTTGCGACTATGTGGGCGTGTCATGCTAGTGGTAGTCGAATCGAAGGCATCGTAACTGTATTGAATATTTATTTGTAATTGACGCGTTATAGCTATGTAAATGACAAAAGAAACGTAATCTCCCAGTTCTTGGAAGTAATGTTAGAAACGAAGTTGTTCATGGCTTCTACCGTACTTTCACAGTTCTGCCTAGCTAGTGGCTGTTCCATCCGCATTGCAAAAGGACGTCATCGATGCCTGAATGAATCAAATATCTCATTTGCTTGAGTGGTTTGGGATTAGCAAAGGGCGAATGACCAAATTTCACCAAAACTCTTTCAGTAGATCATGCGTGCATAGTCAAGTTAACCACATCCAGCTCGGATGACAGGCACTGCGCACTTTCTTTGGCGTTCATCCTTTCCCGACCGCAGAAATTCCAGATGACCCTTTCTATCACGAGCTCATTAGATTTCCAAGGCAGAAACCACAATTGCAAAGAAAAAAGCCATGGAGAAGCCAGCAACATTATTGCCAGACCCATATCATTCAACTTCATCATAATCCTTCACTTCAACAGCTGGGCAGTATGAACATATCGCATCATACTCAACCAACCTCCTGGTGGAAGCTGCAGCAGAATCATTCCGAGCAATACCTGTCAATGTTGGCGCTGTCATGAGTCATTGAGATTGGGCTGTCTCTTGCCTCGCCAGTGCGCCAACAGCCGTTGGGGATGTGATATTGTGGTCTCCACAAGAATATATTGCACCAGGAAGGAACTTGTGCAAGCTGGATGGGCCAACTTCCTTTGGAGCTGAAGGTACCTTGTGGAAGAACATGGGTCCACAATGTTCTGGAAGTTCATCCCCGGGATATCTCGAGTTGCTTGAACATAGATACCCATGTGGTCATCCTGCACGGCAATAAACACTTAATAGTGGATATTGCGGCAGCTTTCGTTGAGTTGCTCAGGCTTCCTCCAAGAAGTGAAAAACTCATTTTGATGCTTCGCATGTAGTGGTGCTTGCAGCAAGAAGGAAGAACAGCAGCAGAGAAAAGTTTAGCGGTGGTGAGGCATTGGGTTCCTCTGCCGTATGCATCACATGCTGTGCAGCACTTCAATTAGGCAAAGCTAGTGGTGGGCCAGCTCCAGCAGATACGCACTTGCTGGTCGTCCTGTTCTCAGGACATCCTTTTCTCTTTCGGGCCTCTGCAAGCTACTGGAGCAAGAGCTATCTGGAGCCACAGAGGGAGTCACAGTTTTGCCTGGGGTGTTCTAGTGATACATCGTGGTACGCTCGTCAAGGCTTACCTTTCAGGTCCTCTGCATGCATTGTCGGAACTTCCGATGCGATGCTTTGGTGCTAATAAGCGTTGTTCTCCGTTCTCCAGCTTCAGTCTTTCGCTTTGGGTCCACCTTCCCGCTCCCCAAATTAGCTGTGTTCCAGTGTTGTGTGCAGGCGTCGCGTGCAGGCAAGGTTCCAGCGCCACGTAGTGCATGTACCGTATCGGAGTTGCGGGGAATGGGCTTTTGGAGCAGCTCCTGTTTGGTCAAATTGCGACAGTAGCTAGTTTGACTTTGAGTCATGCTATTCCTATTTTCTTCCAGATTACGCCATCCGGTAAGTCGTACTAGTACCACAGAAAGTGTTGCGGTATGTGTTGGTGTGTCATTCTTCCGTTTGTTTAGATCATTCTTCTATTTTTATTTAAGTCATTCTTCCAAAAGGAAACCAATGCAACCTGACAAACATTAAAACAGGTCTTCCCGCAACGGAATCCAGAGGCAGAGTCTAGTGTCCGCACAAGGGTTGAAAATCTTGAGTCATGACTTGAGTTTTGAGATTTGACTCAAGTTGGTGCTCAAGTCAACACTCAAGAGAACCACCCCTGTCCACACGGCAACATGGTAGGAGCTGTACCACTATTATCCCGGTCGCCGATTTGGTGGGTTTTTGGGTCCTCAATTTCGTGCTTTTTGGGGATCATTTGAATATTTTAAAAGCGAAAATTAAATTTTGCCTTGATTTGAACATGCGACTTGGCAAAAAGGCGGTGACTCAAGTCAACCGTGTTTTTGCAAAATCTTGAGTCATGACTTGATGGTTGACTTGAGTTGACTTGAGTGCCAACTCAAGTCAAATCTCAAAACTCAAGTCATGACTCAAGATTTTACCCTTGTGCGGACATACGAGTGGAAATCTGCGAATCGTCGAAAAAGCAACAAGGTCCCGTTGGATCTTGATACCGCACCCCGAGTGTAGGATTGAATCTTGATGAATCCTAGTCGGCCGGGGTGTGTGCAACGATGGGAGGTTGATGATAGCTTCCGTGCTGGCAACAGTCTGGGTGTGCCATTTCCTTTCACAAAACAATAATCCATCCTCAGCGAAGCAAGAAAAAGATTCGAACCACTTCTGCGGGTTTTACCAAGCAAGAAACCATGAAGTTTATGACGGCAGTTTTGGCAGCTCTATCTGCCCCCATTCTCCAAGCCAATGCCCAGCAAGTTGTCAGCCTCATCCATATCAACGACCATCACTCCCATTTTGATGAATCTGCCTTGACATTGTCAGAAGAATTCATCCCACCAGGTCTCAGTGTAGAGACCAGTGAGCTGCGATTGTTCCATGGTATGAATGACTGGCTGTCGCGCAATAGAACGTTGTCCCCCGTGTCTCAACCCTTTCTCCTCTTGTACCTTTTCATTTCATGTAGGTGGAGCCCCTCGTGTTGCCAATCAAATTGATGCGTTTCGTCAAGAATCTTTGGCTGCAGGGAATGATGTTTGTGTGGTTCATGCTGGAGATGCCTTGACAGGGACATCTTACTATTCCTTTTATGGCCCATCCATGGATGCTGCTTTTATGAACACGGTGCAATTCGATGTCATGGTGACAGGAAACCATGAATTTGACGATGGAGATGAAAACTTGGCCAATTTCACCAGAATGTTGGATGCCACTACCGTGATTTCCTACAACTGTACGTGTTTGCATTTTCTTTGCAGGTTTTGACAGACTTTAAATTCTGATTTTATGTGCCCCCGCATGTTCTGTCTGCTTCCCTTCTTTAGTGATACCTCATGCAGACTCGGCCTTGTTGCAGCTGGAAGCTGACAAAGCTATCCAGCCCTACTTCATCAAGGAGCTTTCTGATGGGACACAGATGGGCTTTTGTGGTATCACAACCAAAGTCAATACAGAGCAGTCATCCTTCCCTGATCCAGGAACAACGTTTTTGGAAGAGGTTGCGGCTACAGAAGCCTGTGTTGATGAGTTGACAGGGTTGGGAATTGACAAAATCATTGCCATCACCCATTTGGGATACGATGAAGATGTGATGAAGATCTCTGCTATTGAGGGTGTGGATGTCATTATTGGTGGACACACACATTCTCTCTTGGGAGATGAGAAGACTCTGGGACTAGTAGGCCTGAATCCTGAGGCTCCCTATGGAGTCATGGTCAATGGAACCTGCATTGCTCAGGCCTGGGAATACAACAAGATCGTTGGAAAACTAGATATCACTTTTGATGTCAATGGGGATGTCGAGTCCTGCGAAGGGACTCTGGCAATCCCTCTCAACCCTGATGTCTTTACAGTCAGAGATGCTGATCCGAGATATGATTTGGAGGCGTCAGATGCCTCTGTTGTTGTGGATTACCTGACTGGCCTGGGCGTCTTTACAGACCCAGGTGAAAGCACCCAAGTCATTGATGTGCTACAACCCTTTCGCGATGAAGTGGATAGCTTCTTGGAACAACCCATTGCCACTGCTGCCGAGAACATTTGCCATACAAGAGCTGGCGGTGCACATGACCCCAACTGTCCTGGGAAGGAAGATCTCTCTGCTGTAGGGGGCGGGGCCTGCCTCATCGTATCCCAAGGTTTCCTCTACAATGTCCCCAATGCCGATTTCGCCATTCAAAACTCTGGTGGCTGCCGTGAAGGCATCCTGGCCGGAAGCTTTACCTACGGAGATGCCTACACTATCCTACCGTTCTCTAACACTCTTGTCACATTCGACATGACTGGAAATCAGATCCGCCGTGTGCTGGAAGACTCTGTCAACTTCTTCTTGAATGAAACGATTGGTGGTGGGGGCGGTAGCTACCCAGTTAGTGCTGGCTTGAGGTGGCATGTCAACTACACTAAGCCATTTGGAGAACGTTTCTCCAATATCGAGATAAACCCCCGCTTGGAAGGAGACTGGGAGCCACTGGACCTTGAGGAAGTATACACAGTTGTCACCAACGACTTTATCGCTGCCCCTCGCGATGGGTACTACACGTTTGCTGAGATTCAGTACGAAAACACTTATGTTTTGTACACTCAGTCCTTGATCGACTACGTCACTGAGCTTCAAGTTATCATTGAGCCTCTGCGCAATGAGTACTCTACCCAGGTGCTGACAGTTTTGAATGGTACAACGTACGACGTTCGTAAGCCATCATATGAAGAAGATGTTGTTGCTGCCCCTGCTGCGTGTACTTTGGAACTAATGACATGCCCAGATGGGAGCTCCGTTGGAAGGACAGGGCCTGACTGCGAGTTTGAGCCCTGCCCTGCGGTTGAAGTCGAAGTTGCAAGGCAAGAAGGAGATGAAGAGGACCCCATGGCAGAACTCCCAGAAGAACAATCAGAGGACACCGCAGCACCTACTCTTGATATTGAGCGCGCTGGCGAAGAAGACGAGAAACTGCTGGGCGAAGGTGAAGGCTATGTCAGCGCAGCATCGACGATGACGACAAACTCCCTCATTCTTGGGCTCATTGCTACCAGTACGATTGTAATGGTTTAAGTTCAAAGTGAAGTCTTGCATGTGAGACAGTTTTGAGAGTTTCGCTGTTGACAAACCAGAAAGATTGTACCTGTGCATACTGAAGAGTGAATCATTCTTTGAGAAAAAGTATGACCATACTACAGCAACCATAAGATCGCGAGCAGTGATTTCGAGCTCTGTGTTCTGTCCGGGTCTTCAGACGAAGCTAGCTACTAGATAGAACAATCCAAACTTTGTGAGGTATTCCTCTAGTAGGCTAGTCAGGAGATGCCCATGGTTGGCACTGCCAGTACTGTACACGTACCGGAACGAAGAAGCATGTAGACTAAATGTACATGTAGTTGACTGAGTCGAGTCAAGACTGGCTCAAGGAACATGCTTACTCAGGGAATATTCTCTGAATAAATGTTCCGCTGGTGCAGTCGTACACGTACACGTGTACCGAAAGGTGCGTGCTTCTACAAATTTTAATGTAAAAGAACTGTAAGGCGTACCGGTACAGTACCGTACCGTGGACTGTAGACCAGTGCAAATTGCAAAGTGCAGAGTGCAAAGTGCAAAGGCAGCTCAAAGGCACAAAACACAAAACAGCTCAAAACACAAAAAATCAGAAGCGTGTTGGGTGCTGTCAAGAGAACAAAAGTGTCAGAATCAGCTCAGAATCCTGCCCGAACGAATACATGTACTGTAGTAGCTACAGTAGCGTCCCTTCGGCTACCTCAGCAATTCTACCACCTACTAGACAGCTACCGCACACGTATGCATAGACAGCTAGAGTCCTTTGTCATGCAAAATTATTACTTATGTAGTACTTATTTAACAAAACATCGTTCGGCAAGGAAGGGATGCTCTTTCGAACTTTCGAATTCTGCATCCACGAATCCACAGCTGCGTCCACAAGCTATTAATTAATACAATGTATGTCATGGCTATGTCATACATGTACAGTACCGGTGTACCGGTACCATGTACCTTAGGTACGGTATGCCCTACATGGTGCATGTACTTGGAATTGGTGGAAAGGGTCCTTTTTCTTGTGTGTATGACATAAAGCTCATGTACATGTACATGTAGTTGTTCGATACTTGCTACTAGTAGAAATTGTCGAAGTTAGGTGTCCCAGTGCCCTGTTGTCTTGTATGATTTAATCTGCAGGCAGAGAAGGGATGTTCTTCGGAAATCTATTTCCACCCGACCGGAAATGGCTGCTCGAGTTGTGAGCTGTTTTGTGGCTGTGTCAGCTACCGGTAGCTCATCGAACCAGCATGGACCCCTCTTTTTCAGGGGGTCAAGCCGCGTTTCAGCGATAGCCTTGTCACCCCCAAATATGCTTTGAAGATTGACCCTGGAAGCTGCAAGCAAACTTTGACACGACAGCATACTGGTACCAAGTTGTGGATCGCAGTGGAAAGTCACCTACAAGTAGTTCTACCACGCCACACCCCTTCTGACTAAATAAATAAGCATGGCTACATGTTCTCAAAGAGAAGCTTGTTCCCTGCGATCCTCCTGTCACTTCTCACAATTTGTACCAAAACGAAGCAACAACCACCACAACTGCGAACACACAATGCAGCAATGCCAACACACTCAACAACATGAACAAAAACTACTTTGATGGAAATGCCCACACCTATGCCAATCCAAACGGAAAGCGAATGTTGCATCCTAGCTTTCGACCAGGCCCGTATGATGTTATCTGCGCTCGAGGAAAGCAAGCGTTCGATCATGTTGGCAACAAGAGGTTCCGTGCCATTGTCAGGATGAACAGGGATGCCTACGTCGATGCATTGACCAAGTACCACAAGTCTCAAATCGTTAGCAAAATCAGCAATTCCATCCGACATGCAAGTCCGGACGGTGGATTCGTCAAACTCATCCACAATCGATGGCACGAAGTGGGAGACCGCCCAGCTAAAGTACGAACGGAACTCGCTTAAAAGAACACTGCTGCTGTGCTACCGGTACACGTTTAATGCGGATTAACAGCGGACAGTTAATTAACGCATTTTCTATGGGGGCGTTAAGCGTGAATCACAACGGCATTAAGGTTTAACACGCAGAGTTAACAACTTCACAGATCGTGTTTTCACATGAGTTAACAGCAGTTAACAAACTCTGACAATGGCCAAGGGAACGGCCGATCGACGTCTATAGCGGCTTCCTTGGAGTCCATGAGCACTGACTGCTTGTCATAGAAGTGGGGGTCCATGCAGAAGTGGCTTGGTTACACTGTGAGCTGGCTAAGACCTTGGAAAGCCCCGTCGAAAGTCAGAAGAATCATCCGAATCATCGTCCGGTTCAAAACGAGTGCTACTTCCGCTGCTACTGTCGTCTCCCTCTTCTCCGTTGCCTTCATTGTCGTCTCCATCATCTTCATTGCCAGTAGGTTCTTCTTTTTCAGCTGGAGCCTCATTGTCGTCAACGTGATGAGCCACCGCAAAAAGAGTGCCACCGCCGACAAATTGGACTAGGACGTTGCGTCCTCCTTGATCCGAGACCACCTCCAAGTGTTGCATGGACTGTGATGTGATTGTACCTTCAAGTCCATTCAAGAATGTAAGACCTCCGTTCGAAAGAAAATGGTTTGGGTGAATGTGGATGCACAAACTTGCGTTGGTTCCGCCATTGACAGCGTCAGCGAGTGCTTGTTGAATGGCAGCAACGATCGCAGCAACATCATCTTCAGGCAAAGCTGTGGGACGCTGTGGGGTAAAAAGAAAAGTGTTAGAAACGATGAACGCCATTGTGTTGCTCTCGGTCGGAAATTATGCGGTCGATCGAAATTATGCGACAATCGAAAGGCTGTTGGTGCGGTGTGCCTGATTTGCTCTTCGGTTGGAGCCTTCTTTACACGGCACAGAATGATCTGCTGTTCGTGGGGAAAGTGAGCCCTGCCATACTCAGTGCACGTAGATATTTCCCCGCCAATGGATTGGCATTCTTTTACGAAGCAAGCAGTTATCAAACAGCAGCACAACGCTTGTCGGAAGCGTCGGATGCAATCGCTTGTCGGAACCTTTATTCGGCACAATTTACAAACCAATCCGACAATGAGCGACGCTTCTTTTTCTTTCGGCACGCCGAAATGGAATACCATTGTGCGCATTCGTCCTGCTGATGATCTAGAAAGGATGGGTGGTCCTGGGAGTGAAATGCGGCATCCTCTAATTACGTGGAGATCCTGTGTCAAATCGCAAGACGGAACAATGGCGCAAGAAACAATGCAAATGAAAGCAACCTCCATTTCCTTTGATCGATTTGGCGACTCAGTCAAATTCCGGATGCATGTGACAGGGTATGAGCAGACTGCTAAGGATGACGTTCATGAGTGCAAGCCAAAGGATTTTGCAACGTCGAAGCTCCTTACGACACAGGAGTTACGGTTGACAACCCGCATGAAATGGCAGACTGAAAGCTTCAAATGGAAGAGCGAAACCTCTGGGCTAGCCACTCGGACGGTTGTGATCAAGTTCATGTTTGAGGAGGACGCCATGAAACATTCGGATATCCTTCGAATGGAAGTCTTTGCCCCCAAGACAGCAGATATCGATAAAGGAAAGATCCTCAAAACGGCCGTGGAGTGGGCGAAGCTTGTTGTTGATGCCAACATGAAATACCAAGAGCTGATTGGCGAGATGTAAGAACGCAATCGTCCTCTATTTGAATGAAAGAGAGCAGTGGAAAACATGATTATAATGGCCGACTATAGATTGCTTAATCTCCAATTACAGTTATGAGAAGGACACTCGTGCGCACAATCATACTAGCACACGTGTAGTCATTCGCTCATGGAACGTCGATCTGAATATCGTCCCACTCGCCTTCCTGAAGCTGTTCAATCACTCGGAGCAACACTTTCTTTCGACGCTGCTTGTTGAAAGATAGAATTCGTAGAGCAATACCTTCGTCTTCGGTTTCAAAGCAATGCTTCAAGCCGGTGGCAGTTTCGAAGCATTCGATCTCTCCATTTCGTAGATCTTCAAGTCTGTCCTCATCGGCTTCCGTCCACTCGTCTGTTGGTGCTTGTATCTCGTTGTACTTGTTTCTCCAAAGGGCTACAAGCCCATCCTTTTTTCCATCAGTTTTCTCATTGTTTGGTGCGGTTGGAGTCGGCCCTTGCTTCCATTGAATTGCTAGCTGTAGCTCTGGCTTCCTCCATTTCGAAAAGTCTCTTCGAGACTCCATTAACTCCTTGGCAGCAGCAGCAATATTTTCGTATGCCATGAACACTTTCTTCTTTTTCTCTAGCTCTTTTACTTGCTTTTCTTGATCCTTCCGGGCAAAGGCAATCAAAGCATCATCGCAAGTCATGGGACCACCACCATTCGTTACATGAAACCAACCGCCCGCAGTTGAAACCTTCATAATGGCATCCTGTCTCTCTCTTGTGTTTGGCAACGTCACGGACGATGCCCTTCCTCTAACTTGGTTCTCGGTCACTCTGTTGATTGAGCGCCGAAGAGTGTCAGCCAATTCGTATCCTGCAATCTCAAGGGCCCGACAAGCCTCTCGGTTCTGCCGTTCAAGCTCATCAAGAAGCGATCCGTATGGGTCGGCTTCCGCATCAATATCCCCATCCTCCGTCTCCACGACTTCATGTCGAATCTGCGATGACGTCAATGTACTGCGAGTGCTCGGGCAGTAGCCACATTTGTCCATCGCCTTGTGAATGTGGTTGGCATCCATCGCTTCAGAGAAAGCATTCACAAGCTCAAGCTTACTGCCATCAGTCAGGGTGACAACGCCGCCAAAGATAATGACACCAATGTCAGACATTGATAAGGCCGCTGCTTCGCCTTCAAGACGGAATCGTGAAGCCCAAAGCTTATTCCGATTGTCGTATATAAGTTTCTTCAGATAGCCAAACATCTGGTCAAGTTCTTGCCCCGTGGATGTTCCATTCGGCATTCCTGGATAACTATGAAAGCCGACAGATCGCAGCTTGGCAAGCCACTTGCAATTGTGACGTCCAGGACCAGAGTCAAGCTTCACCAACACTCGACCATCAGCATTGTCGGCACTCTGCGGATAGAGAGGAAGGACACAACGCACAAAGTATTCATATAGCATGTCTCCTGTCATGCCTCCCTTTGGATTCATGGCAAATGGTACGTTGTGGTATCTCTCTTCGTTGAAACCATATTTGGCTTTCATCTGTGGCAAGGATGCAGCAAAGTCGGCCTTGAGCTTATAGTTGTTTGGATCTTTTGCTTTGGTTGGAAAGATGAGCAGTGGTGGCAAAGCTTCGCCTGCAAAGTTAACTCCGAACATGACTGTCATTGATGCGCCATTCTTTTCCATTGCTTGGCCAGCCTCCTTGACTCCTACTCGTGATGCCGATGGAATAAGACTCTCTCTTCCACCAATCGAAGCATCTGTTCCCTCTAGAGCAAGGTTCATCTCATCAAACTGTAGAACATGTGAGAGCCTATCTGGATGCCACACAATGTAGCCATCTTCAGCTGGACGTTCGTCTTCTGTAAGCTCTCGAGCAAATCCAAGATCGACTGCATGATGCTCCCAATTCTCATAGTGACGAAGCTGTGACTGGTAAGTCAACCAGAGCACACGAAGAGACTCTCTGCTGTCTGCCTTTGTTAAATCCTGAAGATGACAGATCTCCTCTTCAATACGACGATAGAATCGAGCATCGTTCATGTCTGGCAGGCCTTCGGCTCGCCTCTTTCCATTCAATATTTCTCCAACCGCACTCTTCATTTGCTCACGATTTGATCTATCTTTGCAGTTTGCTTGCTCAATAGCACATGCTGTGAAGACGGCAGAGCAAAACGACTTGAATACATCGATCGGAACCTCACCCTGTCGGCCAAGCCGAGGCGGAGACTTGTTGATGTCGCCTCTGGCAACGGCTGTCTGAAGCTCCCTTCCCGAAAGACAATCAATTCCAATCAGGTTGTTAAACGTTGTTGCGACGGCTTCTGCAGACTTGAAAATCGACAGCGTATTTTCGTTCAACCGAACCGCGTTGTAGATCACGGTAGCTGCCTTGAAGATTGACTTTCGGATATTGTCAATTTCTCGGCGTGACTGCCTTTCAATTTGAGCTGCCTTGCTGGTTCGACGGGTGTCAGTTGACGTTGTCAGGTGAGAAACCGCACTGCGAACGCTCCCTTGAGGCTTCCTTGCGCCTTTCCATTCAACATTCGACTTGATACTGCTATTGGATGGCTTGGTGGTGGGGGCAGTCGACAAGCTGTTGCCACAATAAACCTCATCAAAGAGGAGGTTCATTTGTGTGTTGTGAAAGTTTGGTGGTGTGTTGAAGAAAGAGGCTTCTTCCTTGTCCTCATCAAAGGTTACAACCGCAGCATTCGGTTCCTCAATAGCTGAAATGGGAGACAACAAAGCATCACTGGAATCATCAAACTCGACCTCGAGCACTGGTCCAGTGAATCTGGAAGCGGCTGCAGTTGGAACCCTACCGGTAGGCCTGACAGCGGCTGCAGTTGGCACCCTAGCAGCAGGAGCTGGAGCTGCAGGGACTGGATTCTCCGGAGGGACATCGTCAACAGGAGCAGTTTGTTGAGCTTGCTTCTTCTGGAACGTCTTGATCGCTCGACTAACTTTCATGTACTGCGCCCCAGCTTTTCGGTTCTCTTTCGAAAATCCTGCCAATTCCATGGCATAGGCTTGTGTTAGCTTCCTTCCCGTGCTAGGGATTTCAACAATGCGCTGCCATAGGAATACTGCTCGCTTGGTGTTGGCTTCAATGGTGTCTGGAAGCTCCGGACGACCATAGCGTTGCTCCATCCCCGTGCGTCTCCGGTCAAATTGTTTTCTAGCTGCCTCAGATCCAGCATCATTCGCGTTCATTCCAACAGCAATAAGGCACTCCTCTCGAGACAGATATGTCTCACCCCATTCTGGGATGTTTCTATAGACCTCTAGGGCCTTGTAGACGAGTCCTTCACGCTCCATCTTGAGCGCAATGATGCGTTCCGACAACTATATCGACGGTGAGGCAAACAACAATCAGAGGACCGTTGATACCAAATTTCCAGCCCTCTCCAGCCCAACTCCGCTGGCACAGGGCTCCACACACATGTTGGCTTCACTCTAAAGCCGCACAATACTGTTAAAGGAGTGCAAAAGAGCGCCATCGTCGGAGTTTGAACGGCAGTGAAATGAGTTGGAATTTGTTGCGCCTGTTAACTTTAAGCTGTTAAAGCTGTTAATATGGTGTGAATAAACCCTTAACAGGGCGTGAATCGTTAATACGCATTAAACGTGTACCCTTTTGATAGCAATGTTCTCACATTGCCTTGCTCATCTGGCATTGCAGGAAAAGATTGGTCAGACATTCAGAGATCTCCTGGATCAGCAGTATCCATCGTCTACAAAGGCCAAGGCTCGTGCCCGCATCCAATACCGTGTTGATACCTATGAATCAGACTCCCCAGATCAATCTGAGACATCCAAACAAGAAGAAGAAGAAAAAGAAGCTGAGACCATGAGCACAGTCTCTATCGTCACTCGCCAGTCTACATTCGAACGCAATAAGACGGACAGCAATAGCACTCCAGATCACGTTGAAATTGTCAAGGTCGAACCGCCACAAGAACCGTCTTTGTTTGATACTTTCAGTCAGCTCATTGACAATTCACAAGCGTCCGATGACTTTGAGCCTTTGCCTTTAGACTATCCCACATTTATTGCCGCAGAATCAGACCATGCCGCATCCAGCGACGACAAAGCAATGGATGAACTGCAAGAACTGTGCGACTACGTGGGCGTGTCTTGCTACTGGTAGTCGAATTCGAAGGCATTGTGTCTATATTGAATATTTATTGTAATTAGCACACATAGCAGTATAAAATGACGAAAGAAATGTGATCTCTTAGTTAGGTCTTGGAAATAACATGAGCAACGACGTTGTTCGTGGCTTTTGCGTGCGCTGGTCTACCTAGCTAGCGATCCGCATTACAAATATAAAGGTCGGTCAAAAGGAGCTTGATCAGTTCTTCATGAACCCAAGGACGAAAATGGGCCTTCTCTCATTAGACATTGACCCCTTTCATGGATGCCTGAACGGATCAAATGTCTCTTTTGCTTGAGTGGTTCAGGAGCGACGACTCTGGCAGTCCTTCTCAACCCTTGTGTCATTATAGTTGAACGAAGGGCGGGAAGGTCATGTCAGCGCAGCATCAACGAAGGCAACAAGTTTCCTCATCGTGATGATAGCTACGATCGCAACGCGTTCTTTACTGAGTGAAGTATGGCTGTTGCAACCAGAATGAGTTTCGGACGTGTCTCTGTGCATACGATAGTATAGACGGAGTCGAATCTTTGAAAAGTACTACACTGTACAGTATAATACAGCAAAAGAAAACGAGCAGTGGTTTCGGGCTCTGGCTGCGTTCTGTCCGAATCTTCAGACGAAGCTGCAGTATCTATAGTAGCTAGCTAGTAGAACAACCCAAAACTCAATTTATTTGTATTCCTCTACTCTATAGCTAGCTAGTAGAACAATCCAAAACTCCATTTATTTGTATTCCTCTACTCTAGGCTAGTCAGGAGGTGCCTGCCCAGGGTTGGCACTGCCGGTATAAAGAAGCCTGTAGACACCCTACTGGATCCCACCCACACTCAGTGTTTGTCAATAGATAGATAACAAGTAAGTAGTTTGTCCCAAACAGCCTTCATTCCTAAAGTTTTACTCTATTTGTTTCGTACGTTCTGTATTCCTCTACTCTAGGCTAGTCAGGAGATGCCCAGGGTTGGCACTGCCGGTACAAAGAAGCATGTAGTTTGGGCCCAAACAGCCTTCATTCCTAAAAGTTTTACTCTATTTGTTTCGTACGTTGCTTGTGCGCTGAAACAGCCGCTTTGCTTCTGTTCCGCGTTGTGTCAACCGTTTGCCAATAGTTTGACCGATCCCTCTAGCTAGGCCTCCTTGTTCCATCGTACTATCACAAGACTCGCTTGCTACAACCTGTGGAAGGAGCTATTCAAATCTTCTCTCAGAAGCGAGACATCCATTCGGTACATCTGAACTGTGTGGTTCCTGTCCTCCAGTGACTCTCGAGCTTCCATTTGTGCACGCTGGAGTTCATCCGATAGGTACTCTACTTGGCTCGAGTAAGCTCTGGTCATGCGTTTGGATTCTGCGAGCTCTGCTTCGAGATGTTCAATAGTGGCTGCTTGACGATTCACCTTTACCCTTGCAGTTTCGAGCTTGGTGTTTGTTGCCAGCCTTGCGTGGCGTGCAATTCCCAGTTGCATCTTCAGATCCAGCTGATGCCGATCCGTTTCCGCGGTTTGCAACTCCAAATCGCAGACTCGTTCCCGTAGTTTGAGTAGCTCCTCTGGCATGTTCTTCCGTGCTAGTTGTGAGCGAGCTGCTTCAGAGACCATGCGTTCTTGGACGGTCATTAGGTGTGTTTGGATGCGAAGGAGCTCACGATCTTTGGTGTGGAGCTGTCGGCAGGAAGTTTCCATGAGATCTTGTGAGAATTTTTCCAAAGCTGTCAACTGGAGCTGATACTGTTTGACAATACCCTCATGCTTAGCTGCCTGGTCCCGTAGCTCCTGACAGGTATTGTTCAGACTGATAACCTTTTTTCGCTCTTGCTTGAGAGCTTTGGTGGCGTCCTCTCGATTCGCCACCGTGGATTCGAGCCCGTCTTTCTCCTTTTGAATGGATTGAATCTCTTCTGTCAATGATCGAACTTGTCTACTGTGTGCCATCATTTGATTCCACAATTGCTTCCGAAGATTGTGTGCTTCTTCTTCCATGGCAAACGGAGAATCATTGATTGTTCCGGACGTGATCGAAGCTGTCGGGGTCGTTGGAGGCGTGGCGGCTGGCATCGCCAGGAGGGCGTCCATGTCGCTTTCTGACATACTTTCCGTCTCCGACGGCTGATGATCTTCCAAGACACGGAGTCCGACCAATGGGTCATCCTCACTTTCGCTTTGTTCTTCGCAAACAGTGGCTTGTTGGTCAAAGGTCACGGTCAACGATTTTCGCTGGCATGACCGGAGTAGACTGGAGGCAGCCCGTAGGCGCTGAATCGACCTCTCGAGGTTCTTTTGACGCGGTGTCTTGTAGGGTGGAGTGGCTTGCTGTTGTTGCTTTTGAGGAGATGGCGACAACTGCTGATTGGTAACATTTCCCAATGACGGTCGCGGTGGCTTGCAACTGTTATTGACGCTTGCAGTTTGCCATTCCAGACATTCGTCTTCCAGCAGTGCGAGTGTGTCCATCAGAGAGTCCAGCAGTTCAGCATTAGCCAACTTGGAAACGGAGGAGGGAGATATAGAAAGACTATTACTGCTTTCCTGTTGACCTTCGTAGATGGCCAATCGTTCCTTGAGTTGTTTGATTTCTTCTTCGGCGCGTAGCTTATCTTGGTGGCGTTCCATTCGCAAGACTTCTAATAGGGTTTCCACGTTCTCATAGACATCATCAAGCCCTTCTAGTGTCATGTTCTCATTCATATCTTTTTTGCTACTGCTGCTCTTGTTGCTGACGTGCTTAGGAAGGGAGTTGAGCAGTTTTTCTCGCAGAAGCAGCGGCGACGACAGCGACGGCGTGGGAGTTGACAAGAGAGCATATGCTGTCTTTCGAAGTGGACTCCTCTCACAGCTCTCTGGTGATAGCACCATATCTCGGTCTCTGTTGCTGGATGCCATCGTGGATCGAAAGGGAGACCTCCTGGCCATCCAAGACGATCGTCGCCCTTTCTCCAAGTCCCGACACTTTGAGGGGCTGCTCTCCCAATCTAACACGTCTTCAACTGGGTGCATCATCTTGCTTGGCTTAAGTTAGGATTTACAATTATAGTGGCTATTATTACGGTACGAATGAAGCTGACAGAAAAAGATGAGATGTATGTACTACACAAACAGCGCCACTGGATGTTGTGCATGTGCTTCTGTGAGGCAAAGTTAACGAAAACAAAGAAAATGTGAGAGGAGAAATCGCTAAAGTCTTACGAGCTGTACCTCGAACGTTTTAGCTCACGTTTTAAATACCAACACACAAGCCGCATCCGAGCCAGTGGAGTCCAAACGCAACACATTATGGGCAACCACGATCACTCCCATACCTGGTACCAGGTACTTTTACGGTACGGTAACATGGTCAACCGCACTGCAAGCCTTGACTTTTTTTACCGGTAGACTAATTAGACTTGAATCCAGAGCCTTCGTTCCAGTTTGAAATTTTAAGTATGATCTATGTTTCTATGCATACCATTACTATCATGCACTGTAATGTATTTATCAAGACGTTCAATTGTTACAGTGCTTGTTTGTGTATATTTTCTGAGGGTGGCGATTGAAGTCTTCACGCGCAATGTTCGGTGGGAGCGTTGACTGCGCCCAGAGCGTCCTGGTAGTTCACAATCACTTCGGCACTGACCAACGCATTGTTGACCATTTTGACCCCCTCGTCAATCTCATCAATGGTTTCGTCCAACCCGTTCATGAATTGTTGATCGTTGGCATGTTCCTGTCTCCTCTTCTCCTCCCCGAAGACTGCATCGACGTCATTTTCACTGATGCTAGCACTGCTCTCCGACGGCTCGAACAAGTCTCGCATAGAGCCGTCGTTGGAAAAATCAAAGTCCACACTCTTCTCTTTCAGATGCCTCCTGGCATGCAACATGTTGTCTCCCACCCAAAACACATACATCTGCCCCTTGCCCTTCACCTCGATCTTTCCACGACATTTGATTTTCATAGATGGGGCCTGATCCTTCAAGAGCTTGTAGGATCGGTGGCTGCATAGAATACGATTGCGCACTGAGTTGGACTCCATCCTGCTGGCGGTGTTCACAGTGTCGCCAAAGAGGCAGTACCTGGCAAGCAAAAGTTGGATTGTGAGACTCTTGCGCGACATCGGTTCCGTTAGTCCATCATTAGAGACGCGACCTACCGCTTGTTCGAGGAACCAATCACATTACTGACTACAGATCCACTGTGAAATCCCACGCGAATGTTCACAAAGCCCCGAGTGGGATCTTCCGTGTCAATCATAACTGTATTGGCAAGGTTGACCATGTCGATGGCATACTCTGCAATGTGCCTGACGTGCGTGAGGTCTTGATCGCCTTCCACTGAGTTGTTTGTTTAGTTAGCAATCGCGAGGAACAACATGCTAAATACCACAATGCCGCACTTACAGTTGGTCACCCCCATCCAAGCGTCGCCTATAGCCATTCACAACGATGCAAGTTGAGTACTTCGACTAAAAACGTGGTGCAATGGAGCCAAGAACGTTGGAAACTGCACTTGCCGATAGTCTCTACCTTGAACACGTTGTGCTTGCGTGCGCAGGTGTCAAACTTCAGATACAAACGGTCCAGCATATCGCAAACTGCAGAACAGATAGATGTTAGCCAAGAATCCAGCTGTCGCGGGAAGAGCTACTTTGCTATTGCGAACGTACCTTTCTCGGGACCGATCTGCCTAGAGATGTCAGTGAAAGATACGATGTCTGATATCACAAACCTCGTGGTGAGTACAGGAGAGCCATGAAACAAGGCATTTCGAAACCCGGTCGCTCGCAGTAAACTCACCGGAAAAGATGACTGTAACCATGTCGTGTTTCTCGGGTTCAACCTTGTTTCCTTCCTTCAACGCGTCTGCCACGTGCTTTGGGAAGATATCTATAGATAGATCGACGATAGTAAATTGTTGCCATGCAAGGAAAGAAAAAGGAGCGACAGAGGAAGGCAGCACCAGGCTTTGTTAGTCTCCAACTCAATCGTTTCACCTCAAAGTACTACAGTCCTCCCAAGCAAACCAAACGTACCGTTGAGCAAGTCACCAGCTCGCTGCTTCCTAACCCGATCGTCCTCGGTTATCGGTTCTGCGTCCTGGGCGCTCAATTCCATGACCATGACATCTAAGTTCCTGGCTGCGGGTCGGTATGGGGCATCCGGGCTCCAACACTTCTGCATGATCTCCACAAATTTTGGAGGACATTCCAGCGGGATCTTTGGGCGTTTGTTGATGCGGCGGTTGCAAACCCCGCGAATGACGTCCTTAAAGTTCTCTCCCTCGTAAGGGCTTTTTCGTGCGTAAATTTCCCAGATGATGATGCCTACGCTGTAAATATCACATGACGTGTTGTAGTGCTTCATGCCCGTCAAATACTCTGGAGCAAGCCAAAACGGCGTTCCCGAGATGCTGCTTGCTCTCTTGTTCGACAATCCAAAGTCGCAAAGCTTCGCCCGAAACCTTTCACGATAATCCAGCAAAGAGAGAACCAAAACGAACCAATTGAATGTGGGCCACGACGAAATCGAAATGCTGGCCAAAAATTTCATGCCATTGTCAATGCCAGTGAAGTGCTTACCTTCCATCAATGAGGATATTGCTGCATGAAGATACAGTGGGTGAGCATCCGGAAGGGGAAAAAAGTCGCAAGAGCACGAAGATGCGCTCTCAGCAATGCTTACCGTGCTTTCAAGTCACCTGCATCACGTATAAGGGGTGAGAAAAGAGCTCGACAGGAGACATCAAGCGATCACGCAGTTCCGCAGCTTACCATGGAGGATCGGAGGTTTCGAACTATGCAAAAACCGGAGACCCTGCGCCAACTACAAACAACGACGTGGAAACTGTGAGCATCGAATCAATTACAAGCACGTGAACTGAGCAACAATGCAAGTATCCTAACTCACATCACGAATAATGGGCAAGATGATTTCTCCAGCCAGGAGCATCGTCTCGTTTCGCAAAAGATCGTGGAGGGAGCCATATTCCATGTACTGGTGTATGGAAGGGTATAGAAAGAAAAGCATGAAACAATAAGCAACGAAGGGTGGAGAATCTTCAAACGCAGAGAAAGAAAATCACCTCCATGACCATGACTGGATCGCGGTGGGGCGTGATCACTGCTCCCATTACACTGTCAAACAAGGTGTAGATGGGTGAAATGGTTGCATTGCAGCACATTGGCAAGGCAAAGCAATCACGTACGTCGTTATGCAAGGGTGTCTAAGGCGAGCGAGCACCCGCATCTCTGTCTTGAATTCTTCTATGCGACGAGAGTGTTCGTTGAAACATAGACATAAGACCTGAGCCATGGTTCTAGTTGCTGATGCGTGGCTACCATCTTTCCCAAGAATGTCATGAACTTTCTGCGAAGGAAAATCAGATTTCGCTAGCCATGGAAACTTCATTGCCCACTTGCTCCTTGAATTGGTGAATTCTCTAGTGAGAAAGCCAACGCTGAAGTGTCGACTACTTGGAGTGCTTCCACTGCCAATATCGCTACTAGTCTTCCCACTTCCTCGGGTATTTGGTGAATCTGGTGCCTCGATGTCATCGCTGTCAGGCGAAGCGATACGTTCGGAGCTGCTGGTATCGACCCCATCGATAGAGATATTGCTGCTGAGTGATTCTGGTGCATTGAATCCGCTGCGCAGCGTCCTCCTGGTTCCCGTGTCGTTTTTGGAGCTATTCCTCCTATTCGACGACGACTTAAGCACACGCTTCATCGCAACCTTGGTGCCTCGATATTCCTGATAACGAAAGCATTGAAAGGAGTGAGTACGCGGACAAACAAGGACTTTCAACAGACCTCTAGCTAGAATGTCTCCTTTTTGACGTACTGCAAGAAGTACCACACCAAATGATCCCTGGCCGATCACTTCAACTGGGTCGTCCAAATGGAGTTCCTCAGCGTGTACCTGCCATATTTCGTCTGTCTTTGCAGCTCTGTATCTCATGTAGATTATTGTCCCAATAAGAATTATCAAGAGGCCAACCACAGCCCCAACAATCGCGAACACAGCCACATCGACACACTCTTCGCCAACTTCTATCGTATTGTCGCCACAATGACAATTTCCATCTTCAACTACAGTCATGCCACGCCCGCTGTAGTCGATTTCGCAATCACGCGTCACAACCTGGACTCTCAGCGGCGATTCTGGGATTTGCTTTCCATCGAAGAATATTTCCACGATCCCAACTCCAACCTTGTTCTCCGACCATCGAATCTCGTACGTATGATTTCCCAGTTTTGTCGCTTTGAGAATGTCATCTCTATCAGTCAGATGCATGATTACGTGGATTGTTGGGTCTGCTCTTTCCAAGTTGTCGAACATGTGCAGCACAATTTCCTTGATTTGCTGGACTTCGCCACACAAGCTCATCTTGTCACATCCTTGCTGCTTTTTGCCCGTCGTTTCTCCCACAGAAGAATAATTGTAGACGTCCACTTCAAACGCCTGGACACACGGCTGGCAATAGCATTCATAGCCATCCTTGCATGGCAGCCCCACCAATTCACAGGATCTGTTGAATTCGTCCTCTGTCACCTTGTAGTGACCCGTGGGACACTCAATGTCCTGGTACAACGTATCTCCTCGGATACAGTGGAGATCACCGGCCTTGTCTTTGTCTGGTTGGATAAATCCAGCTGCTTCCTGCTTGGTGCGTACCTGAAAATAGGACCGTGCCGTCCGGAATCCAACAAAGCGTCCACTGGTTGTTGCATTCACTGCCAGTTGTGCAATCCGTGCCGTGGTGTCGCATCGTATACTATTGTTGATCTCGAGTGACATGGCATGATCTCGAATGGCAAAGAGAGCTTCCTGGACTTCAATGGCTACCGATGGATCTACATGATCCAGTGCTGCAACGGGCCATTCTGGGTGTAGTGACGTGGATGATACAAATGGGAACAATTTGCCATCGTGGAGGACATGAGTGTGTGGATTGATGATTTTGAAAGCATCTTTTGGATTCAGAACAGAAAATGAAAGACAGAGAAGGGAGGGAAAGCATAAGAAGCAAGATCTGAGACTCCAATAAATCTATATCAATCATGTGTATTGGCTGTGGAGTGCCTACGGTACATACCATCATTCAACATCTCTCCATCCTCATTGGTGTGTCGTTCAATTTGATCGGTCCTTGCAAAGCCAATCTCAAAGTCTCCATCGAGCAGTCCTTGCACGACTAATCGTTCATCTTTGGTAAAAATGACTTGCTTGGGATCTGCAACATAGGAAAGTCCATGCTTGAAAAGCTCGTAGAATTGTGTCTGTCCACCTCCCATGGCGGTGATGGAACCTGCCCCAATGGTCCTGCCTTTGAAATCTTCGATGCTGTTGACTTGTTCATTGTCCTTCAAGACAAACATGACTCCACCGTAAACATCCAAATCATATTCATATCCTCTTGCACTTCGACGATTGATGATAGTGGCCAACGGCTGTGCCTGGTATTCTGTGGCCATGCAGGAAAACACGGAGGAACTGGAAAACATGAAATCAACATTTTCATTTTCGGCCAATTCCATGAGACTGCTCAGCGAGACGGGGACCAATTCGAAGGCTACGGGAGGGTTGAATCGCTTTCCCGCCGTCTCGGTCAAATAATCGGAAAACAAGGTGCCGTAGAGCTGGAATGCCACTTTCTCGCCCTCGCTGGCGTAGACTCCGACGCGGTAGGTTGGCTTGTGGATGCGTGGATTGAATTGGTGAACCACAGTGGTGCACGACAAGGGCCCTCTGGAGATATTGAATGTGTCACTGCAGATTTTAATAAGAAAAGACATAAGTAGAAGGGAGGACAGGAGAGATGATTGTGAGGTTTCCTAACTAACGAGACAGAAAGACACTGCTTCTGCCACTGTTTCTGGGTACCACCCACCTGTAGTGTGTGCTTTGCCCCGCCACAGATAGCACGGCGTGTTCAACATCCCCATGGCCAAAAATGGAGATCACCAAGGATGATAGGGTTACCCACAGTAGAAGGGCTCTTTTCAAGAGAGGTTTCATCTTTTCTTCAGCTTGCCTGTTGTTTCGCAAAAGTATGGAGAGCATTGGAGAGAGAGCAAAGAAGAAGTTGACGCAAATCGAGCCAGTCATCGCACGGATCAGATGCGGTGCCTTCACGTGATCACCCCAGCTTCCACAACTGGCCACTGGCCACAGGCGACAGATGAGGAGAATGGAGACATCATTTAATTTAAGTTTGCCAGTAACCTCTAAAGAATCGGAAGGTGACTGAGAATGTTGATGCCTTCAATCGTAAGAACGGATGCTTCACGGAAGGGTGCGTAGCGGCACCGGCGGGAGCGGCGAAACTCCACCAAGTTTCTCCTTCTGCTCTGTCTAAAGAAAGAATGCCGGTACCGTTACTGCTTTCAATATCTTACCCCACCTTTCTAATAGACGGGGAGCCAATATTGGATAATGCAATGTCCAATCAATATGGTCAAAATTGGCTGAAGATGGTAAAAGAATAGCGAAGAGCTTTGAGTCACGAATTTCGGATTCGGGCGAGACCAAGATCCGAGATCCACGATATCCGTGAGACCCAAGTCGAGCCCAAGATCCATGAGATCCAAGTTCGTAGAACATTGAAGAGCAAGGGTAAGCTCCGGTTTTCTCCATCATGTCTGTACAGAGTATCAGAATAGAAGAGGATTCAATAGACTATTTCTAGAGGACAGGGGTTTAGAGTAGGCAGATTATCTACGGAAGCCAGTTGGGGCAAGGCTTAAGCAAAGAAGAGTCAAAATTCAGGACTAGGTTCCGTGGGATCAGGGGCGAGAAATTGAGGACCATTACGGGGGCCAAAGGGTTTGGCTTTGTGGGATCTATGGAGGGATAAATGGGAGAATATGTTTTACTTTCTACTCTGGGTATTTTCTTAGTGCTGACAGTATGAGCCGAGGAAATGCCATTGCGGAGTCCTTTTCGGCCAATCGATAGTTCCGGATACGGCAACCAAGGGGCTGCAGCTGAGGCTGCTCGGATCGTGCAGGATTCTTAATAGTCTTTTTAAAAAACCTTTCTGGTCACTTCACTTCAATCTTAGGTTACTTAACATCAAAGAGTATCCTACTGTACAAGATTTGGTGGATCCTCTGTCTTGAGAATGGATCCTCGATCTCGGGTTTCTCGTTGAGATGATCCGAGATTCAGCAAAAGTCTCCCCGAGGTCCCAGAAAAGATCGATGCTTCACAGGATTCACTTACGACCCAAAACTTTCAATTTTAGTTGGTAAAACAGGAAATTTTAGTTGGCCAAAAATGGTTAACTTTGAAGTAGGATCGCCAGAGGCCAAGTTGATCTCCAGTGGATGGGGAATTAAAATGTAATTGGTTTAGACGCGTCCCGGGTGGTGGCTACCGGTAGATCTGAAGGTCAAGTTGGCTAGCTAGCTAGCTACCAGCACTGGTAGCTGCTCTCAGTGTGCTTGTGCGCGTACTAGTCTAGTACCCACATGATATTTCTTTGTTGAAGAAAAGAATTGCACTGCAAGGCTGGCACGGAGAGTACATGTAGCCCTGAAACTTCCAAGAACCCAAGTAGTTTTATTGAACAAATAATAGTACTGTAATGGTGAATGAGCTCTTCTGACGGAGACAGCCAGTGACTCGCGCCTCCCGCACAGAGGAGATCTGGTGGATCTGCCTGGCCATTGGAACTTCTTCAAAGACCACGTGACATCAATATCTAGCTATGCAGTAACTGGACGACCGGAGCAAACTCAAATCTGAGCTCAGCTGCTACCGGATAGCTACTTAGCTAGCTAGATAGCTTTGTTCAGCCACAGTAGCTAGCTAGGAGCTACGGTAGCGGCCAATGGTACTGTACTAGCTAGGTCTGGTCATCAGCACAGGTCGTAGAGCTCATTAATAAATGGTCTCCTCCACGTAGATCTACTATGTCAACGGTGGAACAACGAGCCGGGAACACGGAAAGAACATTCAAAACAGCTGTTATTAGCGTTTGTCCAGTGGCCAATCACCGCAGAACTTGGCTGTACCGCGTACTAGTAGTAGCGGTACGTCCAAGCCCCGCATCTTTCTGTCTTATTTCCAGAGAAGGAGCGGAGAAGTTGCCTTCATTGATGGAGACGTGCATGGAGCAAGCAAGGCGAAAGAGCAGAGATCTTCGTCAGAAATGTTTGTGATGCCATGTAACTCCCTCCTTGATACATGACGTACAGTACTACTAGTAACTAGTATTTACCACTAATTCCCTCATTTCCTCGCTCTCTACAAGACTTGGTGTGTAACCACCAACAGCCAACTCCTAGTTGGCGAACTTGCAACGGTTGGTACCTAGCTAGCCAGCGTCGTGGTTGGCGATTCTATTACTCTACAGGAAATGGGGCTATGAGCAGATGGATTATCTGGTATTATCTATTACTCTACCGATCTCTGGCTGTTCCACCAATTTTTTTTGGTTGGCATCTATCTTCTCCAAGCAAGACGTTGAACAGCAGCACCATGACATCTCTCTTGCTTCGATCCACTTTGCTTTTGTTGGCATGCAGCTCCGTTTCAGCTTCTCCCACTGGGGCATCAGCTTGTCCCGGTGGAATGGCTGCTGTGGGAGGAACTCACATCACTGCTGCTGATTTGAAAAACGGCAGCTTGGAGGAATCTCCACAGGGTTTGAAGGTTCAGCTCAATGGAGTCGACTTGGTCCCGGGCACACCGGGTATCTTTAACGCTGGAGAAGAGGCTGAGCTCAGCTTGTCTGGCACTGCAGATTTCAAGGGATTTCTGTTGCGGTTGGATAGTGCCTTGCTTGCAGACGTTGGTATCGAGTTTGGATTGCCAGAAGCCGAGACTCAAGAGATCCAACCAGCCATTGTGTGCACAGCACCATCGAAAGGAATGACTCATACCAGCAACAGTCCCAAGTCCTCTACGATGTTTACCATTGAGTTGGACGGACCTGTACCTGATCTGGCGTTGGATGTGACGGTTGTTGTTACCAACAGTGCGGGTGTTTCGGAGTACTACTACACTGGATACATGCTCAGTGCGGAAGGAGCTGCTCCAGATGCCAATGCAACGGCACCTGCGGAATCAGAACCTGCTCCCTCGACTGGTAACAGCAGTACCACAGCACCAGCATCTTCTGCCGCCAGCATTTTGACTACTGGATGGATGACAACATTATTTATTGGAGGCCTCTTTGGTGCCATGGTGCAGACGCTATAAAAAGTCCATGCAATTAGGAACCAAGCCAGCTGCTGGTGACATTCCATTTACAATAAACCCACTAGCTAGCTACCGTAGCTACTGTAGTGAGTCAACAGTAAATTTTTCCAAAGCACTACCGATTCGATTCGATTCAAGGAAACACTACTAGCTACTAGCTACTAGCTAGTAGCTACGCTAGCGAAAGAACATCATCGGCTTACGGATGACAACCGTGTGCCACATTATTTTTTTGAAAGCAGTCCTTCGTACCGTACATACAAGCAAAGCCTTATGATAATATATGAGTGAGTCGAGTCACAGTCTTTGGCAAGTTTCAGTCCACCAGAGACATTATCAAGGAGACAACCATGTGCCAGTTCGTGTGTTGCTAAATCTCACTGCCCTCCAGAAAGTCTTTGGATTTAACAAGCCTCAATTGTTGTCGGGGTACTTGGGTAAAATAAAACTCGAATGACTGATTTCAGTCATACTTTCGTCACTTGCTCCTTTATTTAGGAACCAAGCCGCACACCGAAGGACATTCAACGGTCCTGCAAGATGGCATTTATTTGGCAAGACCACACAGCTACATTCACATTTTGGTGCTGGCCATTATGTAACACTGGTTATCATAAATTTTTCCTCTCCTTCTTCTTTGTTTGTGATTGAAAATGGGCAAGGACTGTGAGTCCGCAAACGATACTAGTATATCAGAGGATGGAGACAGTGCTGTTGACAGTTTGACGAAAATGGGTGTCGGTGATGGCCAGGAAACTCTGGAGAAAAGCAGCGAATCCCTAGTAGAAGAAGCAGAAGAAGACAGTGCCACGATGACAACGGATGATGCTTCCAGCAGTCCTGGCAAAGATCTTGAAGAATCTGCTACTAGCAAGGATGCATCCAAATTAGTGCCGCAGCAGCAACATCTCCAAACTCCACACTGTAGTACCACCAGAGCCTTGGGCGGCATTTTTACGGTTGATCAAATCACGGAATCGGGAATCGACGCAACAGCTCTCTCGCCCAGAGGAGCACCACAACCACCCGCCGCAGTTCCGGGAGCCTTTCACGTGGTTGGCAGAGAGAGCACGACCCATAATATGCCACCGGAAGGATCCCTCCATTTGGACAACACTCTGCGGCGACCTCCACGACAGACGGAACAGAACACAGACTCCCAACCAGGTGCTTTTTCTTCCTCCCCCAACGCTGGCAGCCTTGCACGAGGCAGCAATCACAGCAACAGTAATGGCAGGGGTGGGAGTGTCAACCCTTTGCAGCTCCTAGAAGACACTGGATTGGTACGAGCCAGACGGATTTCCGACCAGCGCATTCACGGATCAGCGGAACCGGTGGATTTGGAAGCTCAGGAAGCCACTCGCCAAGAACGGAAAAACATGTCAAACTTGAAGATCACTGCTGGTTTGTGTACTGTCGTCTTGGTCATTATTGTGGTGGTTGTTGCCTATTATTTGGCATCTGGTGGAGGAAACAACACTGACACTGATGTGGCCAAGAACCAACCCTTAGTAGCAACAGCAAATAATGAAACTCGTCCACCAGAGGACATCAACAACAGCACCATCATGATGCTGGATTTGCCAATGGAACTCCCCCAAGCCACCATTGACACGATTCTCCAAGATGTCAATGGAACCACTCCACAGTACAAGGCATACAAATGGATCCAACAAGACCCTTATCTGGCCAATTACTCTCATGATGAAACCCGCCTCCGCCAGCGCTTTGCAGCGGCCACATTCTACCATGCCACCAATGGAGAAACCTGGACAGAACAAGGAGGTGGCACTGTCACCATCACTATTGACGCTCCAAATAATAATGCACTCCAGCAGTTGAGCGTCAGTGGTGCTGTTACCGTTGTTGTGAATGTCACTTCGTCCGGAACCCTGCAAAAAGTAAACATCACGTCGGAACCATGGCTCTCCTATGGGACCCATGAATGTTCGTGGTTCAATACTGCCACCAAAGCAAGCAAACCGTTCTGCAGAGATGGGACCTTTGAAAACTTTGATATTGGCAAAAACAATCTTACTGGGACTATCCCAGATGAAATTGGTCTCTTGACCACAGCCAAGGCTGTCAAGTTGGGATGGAGTATGCTTCAAGGCACGCTGCCAACCCAATTTGGTGTCTTGACCAATCTAGAAGAGCTCCGGGTCTTTCGCAGTGAAGTACGAGGTATCATCCCCTCGGAGCTTGGCTTGCTGTCTGACACCCTGGAGCAAATATCTTTGATCCAAAATAGATTGACTGGGAGCCTGCCTTCCGAGTTGTGGCAGCTTACCAATGTCGACGACATTGCCGCCAATCGCAATTCCCTATCAGGAACCCTTCCTTCTGATATTGGATTCAGGATGCCCCATCTCCGAAGGCTTCGAGCCAATGACAATCAGTTGAGTGGAGTGATCCCTTCCAGCCTGGGTCTGTGCACAGACCTGACCGTTCTTGATTTGGCCAAGAACCAACTTACTTCATCCATCCCCTCCGAGTTTGGAAGTTTGGGCTTGAAGGAACTGGTCCTGGAATACAACATTGGCATCCAAGGAAGCCTTCCAGAGGAGCTGGGTCAGTTGAATGACACACTGCAAGTGCTATTGGTCACGGGCACTTCCTTGGAAGGGGAAATCCCAGCTGACCTGTGTCCGGTGGAGGAACTCGAATTTGATTGTTCCCCCTCTAATTCTTCCTCCCCCGCACTTTGTGGTTGTGATTGTGCATGTGGGTAGCTAGCGTGGTTTACAGCAGCGGCATGCAACGCAACGGGGCGATGTTTGGGTTGTGAATAGATATTGTTTCATAGAGCATTCTTATAGTCTTGAGTTGCTTGCATTTGACTGGCAGCACAGTCTTGTGGAGGAAAGAATGCTCTGGCAGCACCATCTTCAAATCACATTGGAGATTCGTGGTTCTGTAGAATGGCCCGCCACAAAACACTCGTGCTGCCAGTAGCCCGTACGGGTCGCCTAATTTCAACAATCTAGGAAGCAGGTTAGGTGTCGTGGTTCCGTAACCGAGAATCGAATCGACACGAAACAAGTCAACGCCACTGTCGGACAATGCAGCACTCTTTTCAGTAATTACGATGTTGTGCTATTTAGCTAGTTCGTTACTACTTTGATACAGTGGTGTGTGCCAAATGTGCAAATTTAGTTTCGTTGACAAACCCCCTGGAGGCGTCATCCACCCCAAAAGTTAACGTCGATTGTTGTTGAAACGAGAGAGCACTGCAAGTATACACTTGTCACGGTCTCGACTCGATAACAGCTGCGACGCAACGATCATTGATCGAGTCCGAGGCGCAACTCAAACATGCCGCGAGCTGTCTTTCATTCATCATTCTATCTATACTCTTATAATATTCTCGTGACAAGCACTCACTCATCGCTTGTTATTAACTCGGAACGACGACCACCATTTGTGTTTTTGTCGTGAGGATCGTTCCATGGCCCGCGTCACTTGCTGATCATTGGACGCCAAACCCATGGCAATCGATTTGGCCTTGGCGGCATGGGCGAGTCCATCGTGCGTCCACCAGGCATCCAAGGAACATCGAATGACTCCCGTTTGTCGTCCATCTTTGAGCAGCGGTCCATCGATATCCCACGACACCATGCGACTGTTGGCCATGCTGGGATCGTGCATGGTAATGCCACTATTACTCGACGTGCTAGAAGTCAACAACTCCTCAATCGATTCCCGCCAGTCGTCACTGGTATCGGCATGACACAATCGGAATAGATATTCGAGATTGACGGGAAAACTGCCAATGACTTGTCCATCGGGTGCCTGGCGTGCAAAAATGTGCAAAATGGCACCCCCGACATTGTTGGGTTGTCCCGTGCGTGGATCATGCCGCTGCAGTTTGCAGTGAATCTCTTCCTCGCCCCAATCGGGATTGAGTGTATTCTTGATCGTGTCCGTGTGCGGCCATCGTGCCAGTGTTTCTTCTTGTTCAAATTGTCGCAGTTGTTGCTGCTGCTCCAGTTGTCGCGGTAGCAGTTGCGACGATTGTGATTTTTTGAGACTCATTTTGAAGGATCGCATCACTTTTCGCCACGAGGATTGTTTGGGAGGTTTGAGTAGACTGGCCGGACTGGAAACGACCGAGACGTACGAGTCCATGTTGCTGTTGCTGTTGTTGTTATTGCTGCTGGTGCCTTCGGAGTTGTTGTTGGTCTTACTGCTTTTGCTTTTGGGGAATATATCGCATTGAATATCGGACAAGTAAATGTGCAACTTTTCACTTTTGGATGCATTGGCGGCGGCCATATTGTAACTGTCATGTGTCTCTTTGGCGGATGCCTTCCATGCCATTTGTCGAAAGAGACTGGATCGTTGATTACTGCATTTTTCGGGCGGCAACGCACAACAATGTTCATTGAGTTGAATGGCAAAGGCTCCTCGAATGGGTTTGTGATCACTCGATGTAAACGCATCAATCGGTTCGTAACAGAGGGGTGTCAAGTTTTTGCGGGGATGCAACAAGTTTCCTGTGCGCCACAAGATGCGATCCGTGTAACTGGGTGTTCGTTTGGGTTGATATTTGTATCCGACTTGATCGCGTTCGACTTTGAACGTGGGTGGAAAATGACACGGTGGTGTTGTGAATCCAAACAAACATTCGTGATTGTGCAATGCTTTGCGCAATTCATCGGCTTGATTGATTTCGTGCCAATTTTCGTCTTGGACGAGTTGTCTTACATCGTCGCCCTGTTCCTTGACGGATACGTGCCCTTTATAGCGCGTTCGAAAATTCAAGTCTCCCATGAAAAAGCAATAGTGCGATGACAAGGAAGCATCCGGGTGGGGACTCTTGGTAGTTCCCTTGAAAATATCGGCAATGGTGGAACAGCGGGTCTTGTACTTTTGCAGGCCTTCGTGCGCTTCCAAATGGGCCGTACCAAATGCCATGGTCGTCGAATCGTCCACTTGTACGACGGCCACAATGCCGCCCTTGTTGGGCAATCCGGCCTTGCCGGTGTTTTGGGCGCGACAGGATTTGACTTGAATGTCGGTATTGGAATGAGTCCGGGCAAAAATTAAGAGTCGCATTTCACCGCGTTGAAAACTTAAAAGGCGAGTGTAGGACGGCAATCGATCTTTGAGTTTTTGATGCAATGCCGAAGTACTGTTGGCGACCAACATGTCCTTGGTCTGCTGTTTGACGTCTCCAATCACATCCTTGGCAAACTCCGTGGCTTTTCCCGTTTGACTGGCCATGAATTCACTGGCTTTCTTGACGCGTTGGTTGAATTTGGTTTGCGCGGACAGAGACGTGCGAGGAGATGGGTCTTCTTCCATGGGTACTATTATTGGACCATCTTCTGGTTGTGACGACGAGGACTGCGTAGTGTCTTTGAGTGGAGCTTCTTCTTGAATGATCGTCATGGAATTATTATTGTGGTGGTGAAAACTGCTGTTGCTCATTCCATGGTCACTACTACTCATCTCCTTGCTATTATTGATACCACCATGGTCACTAAAGCCATTCAGACTGCTGCCATCTCTGGCACTGTCGTCTTCCATTTCCAAATCTTCTTTCGTAGATCCTTTGGGGATAAACGTAGACTCTTGGAGACCCAGTACTATCAGATCAAAGTGGCCTTCTGCTGTCACGTTGGGATCTTCTTCTTCTCCCGTCTCTTCTTCCGTCTCGTCATCGTCGTCTTCTTCTTCAGACTCTGTCTCCACATCATTATCTCCCTCCTTCAAATCCTTTGCTCTCTTTTTATCACTCTTCTTCTTCTGATTTAGATCGTTGTCCATTTTGAGAGGATACTTTTGATTCTCCAAGACCGACTTGCAATCCCCATCGTCGGGTACCCAGGCGGCTAACGACTTGGCATCGGGCTCGGCATTGCCAAGGTTGCCAGAACACACCAACACTCGAATCGATGATTTTTTGATCTTGAGCTGCATCTTGCTCGTACCGGTATATAAATAATAGATTGGGAGGTAGAACAGATAAGGAGGCAAAACTTGATCGGTAGCACCCACAAAAAGCAAAAAGAATGCAAAATGAGCTGATTGTGTTGGTCGATAATGACAGCAGGAAGCAGCACCACCGGTACCTAGTAGCAGTAGACAAGCAAGCGGATGGCAGTGGATGCAAACGCAAAAGGTGAAAGCAATAAAGTGAGATGCTGAGGAGGAAACCATCGCTGAGAGCGGCAAATGAATAGGGTGCTACCGGTACATTTATTTATTGTAGCAAAAATAGTAGTACAGCTGCAAAGCACTCCTCTAAGGCTGAAAGTGTCTGAGCTATAAACAGGCCATAATGTACCGGTGGGTACCAGTGATTGCCACTTAATTGGCGATTACTTGGTACTTGTCGTAGTTGCGAGTGGTACCAGGTAGGTCCAGTTCATTTAACTCACCTAGTCTGACGAACTGGTAAGGGGCATGGCATCTCATTTATTTTCTTACCCTCCACCACGTCACAGATTCGTACAAATTTCGTCATGTTTATTTCAAAGAGGGTATGAGGGCTTAAAGTGACGTCGCTGTCCTACATTCCGACTTTTGAGAAAGAAGGGAAAGGCCTTCTATTGCCTCAACCACTCTTGTCTTGTCCTTAACCCTACGGTACACCGGACGGCACCCAAGATTAAGGTCCAGTCAAAAGATCCAGTCCCAGGATCCAGCCACTTTTTGCACCAAAAACCCAAGACAAAGCTTCGTGCCGTAGCCACACCCGTTCCCTGCCATGGGCGACAGTTGTACATTAAGTTTGCTGCAGGCATTGGTGATTAGGAGCATGTCTTGCTTGCTTGATGCAGCCTGTAAAGGATTGATTGATTCATTCGTACTGTACGGAAGAAGCACTGTACGCAGGCCTGCAAGTTTGGGGAGCTGGCAACACAAGCTGTATACACCAGCCAAGCAATGTCAAGAGGTAGAAAATAGAGCCACCAGTATCGTCCGGCATCACGTTGAGTCCTCAGCTACACGCTAGCAAATCTTATACTAGCTAGCTAGTAGTGGACTAGTCTGTGCACCCAATTCGAATGATTCGATTCGATTCAATCGAATGATTCGATTCATTCGAAGCTGGCTGCGTCGGAATCGAATCTTCCACGGTCGCGGTTGTCGTCATTAGCTCCACGCTTCGTTAACATACTCTACATACATGTCGAAGGAGCAGAGTTAGTCGACGCCAAGGCAAGCTCCAAACAGCAGTCCACGAGGTAAAATCAATATCTGCTGTGGGAACTCCAGTGCTGGGGCAAGCCATTGAGGGAATTCCAGTGCGGCAGATGCAGCAGCCAACTCAACCTTACCAAGAATACAGGTGGCAAGTTTTAAAAACCTCCTTCATATGAATCGAATCGGAGGAGTCATCTTTGAGATTGGCGCTGTCGTTGACAATGTTCCATTAAATTTGGCATCGACTTCAAAAGCCATGGAGAATAAAGTCTTGCACACTCCTCGTTGGCGTCATTGGCCTTTTTCAAAAGGCAAGCTGAAAACAGCTGCATTCCTCTGCGAATTGGGACCACTTCTCCCGACCACTTCTCCCGAAGAACAGTGCTCGGTCTAGCAGTGGTGGAAATTCGAAATGCTGGGACCAACCCTGACAGGGATTGCAGTGCTGGGGTGAGCCAGCCATTGTGGGGAAAGCAATGCCGAGGTTAGCTGCCGTGGACACTCCAGTACGGAGGCCAACATTTGTATGTACGGGTGGATTAATGTTGTGCTGCGGAGAGCCATTGAGGGCAATCCAGCAACACACCAAATGGATGCACATGGTTGTCAGCTCGGAATTTCTCGCGTGTCTGTATGACTGTTACAATACTAAAAACTCTTAGACCTTGGTTGTGGTACCGTACGAAGGGCTGGTTGCAACTGCCCTTTCCAAGCAACTGAGAATGTACGTACCGTACCGTAACACGGGGGATGCCAGGAAAGATCGTCTTGGAATGGAGACGACCAATATCCAGAAGTCGCCAAACGTTCCCTGCTACCGGCATACCGCTTCTGGCCAACCATGCAGCGAACGAATCCTATTGCTATCGTACGATGAGCCAAGTTACCTGTGTTTCATTTGTTGTTGTTGTTGAACCAATATAGCTAGCTAGTGGGTATATTTTATTACCAATCTAGCTAGAGATCTCTGGATGTGAGTGTGCTTGATCCTGCAACCATTGATTCCAAATCATTGGCCACGCTCAGCCATTCCGCCACCACACCACAAAGACCAGGGGTCTTCCTCCAGCAAGCAAGCGACGTTGATTGATTGATGGATTCACTCCATATAAAAAACAGTCCGCCTCCCAGATTTTCAAACCAACAAGCCGTTCCATCCACCTTTTTCTTTGTTTGTTCCCCGAATAATGTATTCGGGTGACGCTTCCTTGCAAGCCAAGCAATTCAAATCAATTCAATTCAATATTTCAATTCAATCAATGGCTCGATAATTGCCATGCCGTTCGGGATGATCGACATATCCTCTATATTTGAGAACGGTTTCGTGTTGGTCGTATCCACAAAACGACAATGCATAGTCATGCGCCAACAGCATGTGTCGTCGTGCTTCGGGCATGGTATCATTTTGCAGCACCAGTATTTGAAAGAGATCGTAATGGACCCGAGCATAATCGCGACACGATGCTTGCACGCGATCGTAAATGACGAGCAACGTCTTGGCGGATTGGACGGCCTTGGCGCGTTTTTGGTCGCAAGAGCATCCTCCCAATTGAGTAATTCTAGAGTCGAGGGTGCACATGGCATTGACTTGATCGTTCCAAAAGGGAATCTGACAGGCTTTGCAGTGACATGTGAATCCTCTCCATTCGAGACAGATTTGTCGTTGTTTGCCGGATCGCGTGTACGGAAAGGTGATTTCCGTCTGCGCTTCAATCCGATGATTGGCCACGAGCAATTCGACGCCATGTTGATGATCAAAGTAGTGATCGGCATTTCCCAGACAGTCGTGGTTGACACGGGAAAATGTCAAGAACAAACCGGCTGCCATGTTGTCATCGTCATCGTCGTCATCTTGTTCTGAATTTTCCTTGTCATCACTATTACTAGTAGTAGTTGTTTGTGGTGGTGGAGGTGGAGTGGGTTGTTCTGGATCTTGCGATTCCAGACACACCCCATTGGCATGGACTTTGTCGTCCAAACTGCCTTGGAGAGGTGTCAAGGACATGGCAGCCACGCGAATGCTTTCATTGGCCGCAGCAGTGGTATTGGTTTGATCATTACACGTGGCCACCACATTGGTCGTCGTCAAGACGGGTCTCTCCGCTAAAATTTTTTCGCCGCGTTCAAAAGATCGCTTGGCAATCATCCCCAAGCCTTTGCCGGATATGTGACAAATCTCAAAATCGACGCCCTTTTCACCCGCTTTGCCACACCAAAAGGAATGCGTCGACCAATCCATATCCCGACAAGGACCACTGCAAAACGAACGTGGACAGGCGGCACAAGATACACCACTTCCAACTCCACCAGTTGTTGTAGTCAGCAGCACGGCATAACACCAAGCACAGGAACGAGCCCGAGGATCGTAGGCGGACTCTGCTGTTGCTGACGGCATGGTCTACTCTATATCGTTGGTACCGCAGTACTGTAGAGTGGGCGGATCTATCGATCTATCGATAGATGAGACCGTCCAGTGTCTCGTTCTCAAAAAGACCGTTCCATTGGCACATGGTCGCGGGATCTTTTTCAGTCACAAGGTTCGCATCTTCCGTGACTCAACTTCAGACATGCCAGGGCCCTCGCTCTTGACACAACGGCTTTTCCTGTACTAGTACCGGTGGAACGTTTGCTCCAACGTCGAGTTGGTTTGCACCAAAGGCGTCTCCCGAGTGCCCTCAAACGTTACTTGGAGTGAGCTACTAGCTAGGCTCGTAGTAGTTAGCCTAGCTAGCAAGCTATCTCTAGGCAGAGTAGATAGAGGATTGATCCTGCTACGCTCATTTTGGTTTCTGGACTACCCTCTTCCTTTTGGTCGAGGCAGGCAGCCAGGTGGATCGGGCGGTATCGTTGCAAAAAACGGCATTCTGGAGGGAGGAAGCCAATGATTCTCGGATAATGGCCACCAGGTTCAACAAATACACGTAGATATCAGAGATTGCTTGCTAGCTAGCTGGCGGTCAAGTACTAGCTACCCTACAAGCAACAAACGAAGAAGCAAATCGGACATCCAGCATTTCAGGTACCGGCAGTACCAAAGCCAACAAAGTTTGAACGATGGAGCCACTCTACTTGAATATCGAGGCAACAGCAACAGGGCGCACACGTGCTGTCAGTCCATCTACTGGAACCGTAGTACACGGTGCGGTTTTTACGGTATCAGAACGTGGCCCGGAAGCGAGGTGCGCAGCACCTTACGAGGACGCACCTCAGGAACCACGGCACCATCATGATCTCTTGGAGGCATACCGGTGGTACCGGTGCGCGAATCGACGCTGCTGTCAAAGGATTTGGCAGGATCATCGTTCCTTTCTTGTTTCAAAGAAAAGATTGAGCTTTTAGTGTTGAAGCATTTGACTCAAGAACCCTGGAGTAGCATGAGCGAATTCCATAGTAGGGCTAAGGAAAACATATCTGGATTTCTTTTCTAGTGTACTACTAAACTTTACTATAGATAGCTAGTGGGACAAGTATCAAAAAAGAAGAATCGAATCAACCTGTTGGGAGTTGCTTCGATTGGTCTTGGTGTTGGTGGGTGGCTTCTTGGAGTTTCAATCTCCAAGATAGCAAGCATAGAAACGTTGCCCGTGGGCTAGGCCCACCGTTGTATCGTAGTTGGCTTGGACGGTTGACTTCTCATACCGCTTCTTTAGCCAGGCATAGTCCAAACCGACCAATTGGCAAGCAACATGCAGCCTTGAACAATTTTAAAAGTGATAGCACAAGGCTGATGCTTCGGATGGTGTTTGTTGATTTGGTTGGGTCGTACTGCTGCTCTGTCGGTCATACACAAACAAACGAAAATAAGTACCACGCTCACTCTAACTAAGGCTCCCAGTCCCCATCGACAAGCCAACACTGCCTATACTCGATATAGCTCATAGGCAGGTCGAAGGGAGTTCTCCGAATCCACTTCTATGCCGCCACCGCCGTCGTTGCTGTCGCCGGCGTCCAACAGCGATCTCTGTCGTCCCGTCCGCATCGAGGCGATTTCTTCCAACAAGAGTTCGTCGTCCTGCCCGACCCTGGGCGACCCACACGAGAAGAAGATGCCACCATGACTCATCAGTTCGTTCAGTTTGGTAGCAGCCTTGGTTACGGCATCTCGACCAACATGACTCGATCGTCGTTGCGCCAGGACCATCGACGACGATGAGGCAATCGATACGATGGATGCCCGCGGGACCAGAGACATCGAAACCGACGGCGATGGCGGACTCAGACTCCCTGTTCCCGGCGGAGTAGAACTCGTCGAAGACGACGACGATGATGTCGTGCGACCCGTCCCATACAACGATCGACTGCTCAGGCCACTCATGGTCAGGTCGTTTGTTTGTTCGGTCGGTCGGTATTCAGCTACCTTGAAGATCAGATCAGACGTCAACCAACGTCAATGCTAATGCAGTTGCGTTGCTGGCCCTTTTTGCTGTTGGTCGCCCATTCCACAGCACTCCGACTTTTTACTTGCACAAGGAAATAATGGGCGATGGCTTTTTGCGCTTTTATTTTGGGAGCTACCAACCACCGGGTTTGTGGTGTCTTCGTGCTCTCCGCTGGCAAGCTGGCCGTCATTGATGTGAGCCTCGCCTAATATTTTGCTATTGGTTAGATGTCGGTTTATGTGACCGACTGGACGCTCGTCGCAAGAATCCTTGTTTAGAAGGTTTTTGGTGCTGCCGGTGGCATCCCGCCAGACGTCCTCTAGCTAATCGCTTTTTTTGCGCGATTACAACAAACAATTATTTGACTTGGGTTTAAGATATATTACTCGTCAATCATCTACCGGTGCCACCGGTACGTCGTACCGGACGGCTACCGGTAGCTAGTAGTACACGGGTAGCTTCCATGTTGATCACCAACGCAACAGGAATGATAGCAGACAACTACAAGTCTGCTACTTGTAGCTAGCTTCAGCTATCTAGGTTTGGATCAACAGAGTATGGATTCTACCTAGCTAGTAACATGAGAGAAGTCAACCTACGATACTTCCATACTACTAGTAGTACCGGACTAGACAGCTACTCAGTAGCTAGCTAGTAAACTACAAGTAACTGCATTTGGAAGATCCTGCCTGTTGCTTGTTGTATAATGGAATATCTTGTATTTGAGGTAATAGTGTTCCATTGTGACTGGCCGGTGTAGGCTTGGGAGTAGTTTCCACGGCGTGGTTTGCGTGGGGCACTTTGCGGAATTGAATGATCATGAACCGCGATTGATTCGATGGAATCTTTAGAAGCAGCCAGGCAGCGGCGACGGAGTGTGCTTGGTACTGTAGCCGATGCCATAAATGCCTACTTGTCGACAGTGCCATACCACAATATCAAACACCTATCCAGCGATCAGCTAGCTAGAGACCAGAATTGTTGGTTGCTCGCGGTATTATAATAGTACGGCACCGAGGATATGTGCAAAGGAATCGAATCTCGCTGAAAATCGTTCACTCGTACCGGTACGAGACAGCAGTCATACGCTGCAAAAGGCGTCACTAAGTAGTAGTAGCGTAGCTCGTTCATGCTTTTGCTAAGGCTACTAGGGAAGAAACGACTGTTCATGAAGTCTTCGGGTGTCCACCGAGGCTGCTCTCTACCGGTAGGCGTGTGCAGATGATACTTCACTAAAGAATATTCTATGATCGCTGATGCTACTTCCATGTTCAAAGCTCCCACAAACTAACATGTCATCACTCATTCTTCTATGCCACGTCACCTTCCTCCTTTACTAATATAGCTGTGATTGTCTTGTGGATTGTTCATCTTGGCGGATTGGTGGAACTGATGGGGACTGAGCAAAGTAGGATTGCTAATGGTTCTGTCGTCGCTGCTCTAGAAAAGGGAAGCATGGAATAGGTTGCCGTGCCATGGAAACAACGGAGGGTAGCGATTCCCCCCATACGGCATACGTTTCGAAAAAGTACCTGCGATTTCAAGGCAAAATTTGCCAGCACTCTGGTCTGTACTAGAGTGGGGGTTGCCACGGGAGGAAATGTGGTGTTGTAGATGATTGTCGTGCACATCCCTGCTCCCCCCCCCCCATATTCACGTGTCTACTGTCTCAACATCTCTTCCGAGTCTGAGTCTCCGGAGTCGCCATCAGAAGCAGTTTCAAAGGCTGACATGTATTCTTTTCGATCTTCATCGGATTCAGAAGCGGCATCGATCATTGTCATGAGATTCTTGGTATAACTTCGGCGTTTTCCTTGTTCCTGTGGTGGTGGGGCAGCAGGGCCATCTGGTGGCGGGCCATTCGCACACTTGCCAAGCAAGTCAGGATTCGAACGTCTGCGACCCTTCTTCGTGATGTGTTGTGGATCTCCGTCAGCCTGCTGTTGCTGTATATTTTTGTTAGATAGTCGTTGTTGCATGCGTGGATCCGGTTCCGCCTCGGACATATCCGCATCACTGGCTGGTCCACCATATTGCACAGGCGCTTGCTGTGGAGGGGGCTGCTGTGGAGGGGCTTTACCCATGAGATTTCGATTGGACAGTCGTCGACGCACGCCTGGCTGGGCGCCACCAGGTTGTGGCGCGTTGTCGTTGCCTCCTGTGAGGTTCCGGTTGGAGAGGCGTCTTTGGAGTCGTTCTTGCATTGGTGCCCCGGCATCATTGGTGGCACCTGGAGGACCGGGTGGCTGCTGCTGGTGAGGAGGAGGAGCCCCTCCAGGCGGAGGTGGAGTATTTCCCATAAGATTGCGATTGGATAGTCTTCGTCTGACACCAGGTTGGCCAGGAGGTGGAGCCCCTGGAGGTTGACCATGAGGTGGTGGAGCCCCTGGTGGTGCCCCATTTCCCATTATGTTTCTATTGGACAAGCGTCGGCGCACACCAGGCTGACCTGGTGGAGCTCCAGGCTGCACCCCTGGAGGAGGAGGACCTCCCTGAGGAGGGCCCATGCCGTTCAAGTTCCTGTTCGAGAGACGTCGACGCACTCCTGGAGGTGCCCCAGTAGGTGCTCCCGGAGGCGGAGGAATTGATTGAGTCGGAGGGGGCGGTCCTCTTGGGGCATTTCCCATTAGGTTTCTGTTCGAAAGACGTCGACGTACTCCAGGCTGCTGTGCTTGTTGTTGTGGCTGTTGCTGTGGCGGATAGCCAGGAGCGCCAGGAGGACCAGGTGGCCCGGGTTGCGCGTTGCCCATGAGATTTCTATTCGACAGACGTCTGCGCACTCCTGGCTGCTGTGCTTGTTGTTGCTGTTGTTGTTGTTGTGGTGGACCGCCAGGTGGTCCGTGCTGTGAATTTCCCAGAAGGTTTCTGTTGGAGAGTCGTCGACGAACTCCAGGTTGTTGTTGACCAGCACCTGGTGGTGGCGGCGGGCCTGGAGGACCACCAGGAGGAGCTTTTCCCATGAGATTTCGATTGGAAAGTCGGCGACGCGCTCCCGGCGGTCCACCACCGGCCGCTGGAGGAGGTGCATTTCCACTGTTGCCCATGAGATTTCTATTGGAGAGTCTTCTCCTTACTTGTGGCTGTTGTCCGTTTGCTGCGGGTTGTCCAGCGGGTTGACCAGGCGGAGGTGCATTTCCATTGTTGCCCATGAGGTTTCGGTTGGACAAACGTCTTCTCACTTGTGGTTGTTGTCCGTTTGCTGCGGGTTGTCCTCCTGGCGGTGGAGCATTATTATTATTATTGCCCATGAGATTGCGGTTGGATAAGCGCCTGCGCACGGGTGGTGCATCGCCACCACCTTGTTGCTGTTGTGCCATGAGTTGTCGATTGGATAACCGTCGTTGCAATCGCGTCTGAGGCGGCTGTCCCTGTGGATCTCCAGCAGCATTGAGTCCCAGACTTCGGTTGGAAAGTCGTCTTCGAAGCGGGACAGCCACAGCCTCGTTATCGGAATTATTTTCCACCGGTGGCAGTGCCCCATAATTTCGATTGCGTGGTTCGTCTTCATTTTCGGAGAGGAAGGGGTCGACCTTGAGGGAAGAGCTTGCGACTCCAATGGAATTGAGAAATCCATTTTGAATATTCTGGGATGAGTTGCCATTGAAGCTGTTGTTTGCTTTACGACTAAAGCTGTTGCTTCTGTTTTCTTGTGTAAATCTTCCTCCGACACTTTGACAGTCTCGTGGAATGCCACCGGCGGCTTTCTTGGAGTCCAAAAACCCACCGAGACCACCGCCGTTTTTGGAATTATGGTGACTCTTGCGCAGCTCTCTCATGGTAAACGATGCCGATTTGGATAACACCTGTCGTCCATCTGCGTGTTGTTGTGGCTGTTGCTGTTGGTTGTGCGAATCTTGGTCACTTCCACCACGGGAACGTTCGTCGCGAGAAGAATGGTCCCGTTCATTGCGGTCCGACGATCTTCTGGAGGGAGAACGATCTCGATCGTAGTCTCTATCGTTACTATTCCGGCGGGATCTGTCGTCGTGATGTCTATCATGATCATCGTGATAACTATCGCGCGCCCGCCTCGACCTGGACTCGTCTCTGTCTCGATCGTGGTGGCTGTCTCGACGACGAGATCTGGAACGATCCCGTCTCGATCGAGAGGATCCCCGCCGCGATCTCGAACTCGACCGAGATCGATCTCGTCTCGATCCCCGTCTCGACCTCGAAGGAGATCGTCTCGATCGACTCGACCCCCGCCGATCTCTCGATCGATCTCTATCTCTGGATCTATCTCTCGACCGATCTTTGGATCGATGACCATCATCGCGATGTCGTCGTCGCCGCCGTTCTTCTTCCTCCTCTTCATCATGTCGTCGTTGCAACAACCCTAATACTTCACGATGATAAATGACTTCGTCAAAATACTTGAGTTTTTTGTACTTGTGTTTGATGAATTTGGATCGTCGTCGTTCTTCCTTGTTGGGATTGCTAACGACCACGTCCTTTTCGAATTTGTCGTCCGTCAAGAATGCCTCGTAAAAGGCATTGCAAAAGTCGTTGCCCGTGTCTTCCAATATTTCCACGTCGTGTTCTGTCCCTATAATACCAGTAGCATAGTAAGAAGCAAACAAAGCATGAGAGGACGAATGATAATCCAAAATGAAAGAAAAAAGCCAACCAGATAACGTCAGGGCAATTCGGAGCCTCCTTTTCTGCCACCAATTCTTCAGCAGCAAACACACACACACACAACAACGGGATACCATTATCTCAGGCAAGAGAACCAGAAAACCAAAAGGGTATCTGATCCCTCCATGATCCACTTTTAAAATCACACCCGGCAAGAAAACGTCCCAACCAACGAACGCTTCAATCGATACGTACATTCATGTGCCATTTTAAGGTACTTGATCAGCGTCCGTTTGTCTCCCAATTCGAAATGATGATGCTGCGCACATTCTTGACAACAAAAGACTCCAAACTGCTTGTCCGACTCTAATGGAGATGTCAAGAAGGAAACCCACAACGGTCTGCGGGAAGGGCAATCGGCACAGATCTGATTCCCCGGCGTCTTGAGAATCTCTCCCATGCGCTTGTTCATCTCCTTGGTCAACTTGGGAGGAGACATGGTGGATGAATGAATGAATGATATACTGATGATATAGTATGAACAGATAGAGGGGCCACAACCGGTGGCTCCAATCAAATCAGCTTGCTGGTAGCTACTAGCTAGACTAGAAATGGTGAAATCACAATCACTCCAAGCGTTTTTGGCTCCTGCTGGTCTCTTGGAACGCCTAAACTGAACTGAACTGGATCGACCAAAGAGCACAAATGCAAAGAGGCGAGGCGAAGGAGACAAGAGAGAAAAAAGCCAATCTCAATCAATTCTCAATGCGATAATGCGATCACCGGTGACTTCTTGGAGGTTTTGGGGGCAGTTGGCTGGATCTTGAAAAGACAGGAAAGCTTCCGTGTGCGCACGTGTGCGTGCCTCCTGCTATAAACATATGGTCATTAGCCAGCTGCCCATTCTGACCTGGCCTAGAAAGGTTTAAAGCTCATTGCCTTAATGGTTGCTGGAACAATGACGACATCAAGCTGATTTCAAACAAAAAGAAGCTGGGTAACTGTTACTGTGATATTTCAGTAGTAGTACTGCTGAGCAAACTTTTTATACATGTACAGTTCGGTCACTTACTGTCTACTGTACAATAGCAGTACACAACCAACATCTGAGTGTCTGAAGAGGTGTAGTTACTATTAAAATAGTACTATACGATTTAGTACTGCCGGTACAAGCTTAAAAGCGTACTATTATAGTACGGCTCAGTTTTAAAGTTGAGTCTTTACTATAGTCTAATAAGTACTGTCCGCTGTGTCGCTGACAACATGAAAGTCTGAAGAGCTGTCTATAGATCTAAGTAACCAGTCGTTCCGGTTCGGATTGGGAGGAGCACTTCCTTGTCCGGACAGCTGGCTATTATCATCATCATCTACTAGCTAGCTAGCTAGAATCTTGAATCTAGACTATTAATACCTGGCTGAGACGAAAGGAGGCCTTTTTCTCACCATTGGAGGGCATGCAGCTTGTTGCCGACCTACGGGCCGCATTGGAGTAGTTTTCTACCGTATCAGTATGGGGCTGTCGACGTGGGTTATCTGAGATGAATGGAGGTCTTTTGTTGTCAACCTAGTAGCTAGCTAGCTAGATGGCATCCCGCTGGTTGCCAGCTAGCCAATGTAATAGTTTTTCCAACATTATGGAGCTCCCAAAAGAGAAATTTGCTGCTTGCTAGCTAGTGATCAGATGTTGGTGACGACGTGGGTCGGGCGGGGGCGAAGGTCTTGGGCGGACGACCAAAAAGTGTAGCGGTAGCTAGCATCCCAGTGCCGAAACGAGGAAGCTACTACCTAGCCAAATCTGATGAAGCGTCGTCAATGGTGTTTGGCTCCCTGTGGCAGCGGATGTTGCTGGTCTACGCAGTGAGGTACCGGTAGGTCCGCATTGGCTGGAAATAAACGCATCAAGGGCTGGCTGTTCTGGCGTTTGTTTGCCTTGCTTGTTTGCCAAGAGGACGGACCATAGAGCGAAGCACTCGCAGGAGCCCCAGCCACAAAATCTACTACACGCACGTAGTACTTTCGTTTGTCAGATCAAATTCCTTCTTTTTACCCACTCTCGAGTCCTTCCCACCAAAGACAGTAGCTTCTTGCCAGCCAATGTGACGTGCCTGATACACCGTGCCTGGCTGGAAAATTGCTTCCAATTACTCAGGCGCGCAGCCATGACAGATGATTTCTTCGATGATTCTTGAGCCTTTCAAGGCAGCCCGGCCAAACAATCGCCTTGACCTACAGGTACCACACTTCCGACCCTGATTGGCTGCATCCTAGCTACATGCAGCGACAAGACCCCCGTGGTGTCTTGATTTCCGAAAACCCAACCGCGTTATTACTCAACTTCCCCAACAAGCGCACAGCCATGACCACATGAACCTGCCAGCCGGTGGGGAGCATGGCCCAGCCATCTCCCGAAGCAATGCAAAGCAAAGCAAAGCACCTTGGGGCGAGTGGGGGGTGGGGGGACTCCTCCCTCTTCGCATCATGCATGGGATGACCGAAGAGGTGCTTTGTTCTTTGTTCCACTTACGCTGGTGAAGCTACGAGCTACCGTAGCTATGGATAATGGAGCTTTACCAGTGAGCGAGCCATGCAGTGTTGCTGTGTACTGGTTATAACCGGTACCAGATCCAGTGTACGAATGATTTAAAGGTGAAGAGAACAGAAGCTCTGCTTTCTTTGAGAAAAAGGGCTTTGATAAGTACATTGGCTACTTATTTCTCACTGGAGATTCCTAGAATGACTCCTGACCGCAGATTCCATTAAATTTATTTTACCAGCGAGCTCTAACGGAGAATCTTTTGACTTCACTGGACAGCTACTGGAAGCAAGAGTCGTGTGCACTACGTAGAAATGGATCGTTGCACGGCCACCGTTTTACGGGAGGCTGCTTGCATAGCCACCTGAAACCTGGAGCAAAAGCGCAGAGCTCATCACTTCCTTGGCTCACAATTCCAAACAGCTCCAAGCAGCAAACAGTTTCCTTCAAAGCAAGCAAGCAAGCAAGCAAGCAACCAAAAACAACCATCATCATGTGCACCACCAACAACGGCAAGAGTGATAGCGTCCGAGAAACTTCTCCCAAGAGGACCCGTCCCCGTCTGCAAAGTGGAAACTCTGTCAGAGGGCTGGACAGAGAAAACAGCTCTCGAGCTCTTGGTGCGTTTGCCATTGAGAATCGCGACCCAGATGATCGATTTGTGCGTCAACAATCCAAGCGAGGACTTTCTGGAGGACAAGATCAACAATCGAGCGACAGCGAAGAAGATACTGGATCTGCACTGGACAATCAAATTCTGAAAGCTGTCAACAAGAGCGGATGAGAGCAACCGAGATGCCGTAGAAACCAAAGATTCTCGTGCCGTGCTCGTTGTGATGATGATATCGAGATCATCTCATCAATAGATTGAAGCATCTTTGAAAGTTTACCGTATGAAAAGAAGGGAGGAACACAAGCAGGCCAAGGCAAGGCAAAGCCAGCCAGAGCAATGACCTCACGTACTTAGAAGTAGAAACCAACTGAATTTATAACCGTACCGATAGCCGATATACGAATGTTGATTACGATTTCATGCATCTCATGGCTTGCAACAAGCTACCGTACTCCGTAGAACCACAACCGCCAAATTGGGCTTCTAGGATAGTTATGTGGATGGAGACTCCCGTTTCGCCCCGGGACAGTTCCTCTGTACTGGCTGATTACATGTACTGGATCAGCTTGCCGCTTTTGCTGGCTTCTATTGCATGTCCGGCCTTGAATACAATTGACAATTGAATGCATCATCCTTTTCAATTTTGGTGTCAAGAATTTACCTACACTTCTCACTCATAATTAAGATAAGTTGGTTTACAATACCGGTACAGAGTAGTCTGTTAGTTGCTCTAAGCTTTCTTCTAGTTGTTACTGTTGCTATTGAGATACTACTGAAAAAGTGGTTCCTTGGCTTTTTCTACTGGTGTGAAATTCTAGTACAGAGGTACAGGGATTGAATCCCTAATCGCGAATCCACAACACACTCCTGTGGTCGTCGAGCTTGTCCTAGTCGTCGACCATGCTTACTTTTACTCTGCTTAGCGCTCCTTCTTTGAACGGACCTTCTTGTCCGGCCGTGACCCTCCTACTGAGTGCCCTGGCTCTGAGTGTTCCACAACACCCATCAGCTTGTCGACGTTCTGTTTGAGCAGTCGACCTTGGTTCGGCTTCGTCCAGAAGTCCGCAACCATATCATCAGTTGGACACCAGTCCACACTGATCTCCTTCTTTGCGACTCTGTCGCTCACAAAGAAGTACCTAATGTTGATGTGCTTCGTTCGTTTACTACTAGAAGCTTTGCCATTCTTTTCTAGACGTATGACACTCTTGTTGTCCTGATAGACTATAGTTTCTTTAACTACATAGCCTTGCTCCCGTAGGAACTGCCTCGTTCAAAGGATCGATGGCATCAGGTCATCAACTGCTACGAGTTTGCTCTCAGTCGAGCTTCTCGTGTTCAACTTCTTTTTCGTCGAAGTCGATAATGGTGCACTACGCTAAAAGCTAGTGTAAAGATCTTTCGAGTGTTTTGAGTTTGAGAGAATGAAAGTTATGAGCCGGAACTTTGAATGCTCAAACTCATGCTAAGAATTACGCATGAAGGATCTTGGGGCGTCCAAACCGATGTGGACTACCCCTGCAGGAGAATTAAACACCAGCACGAAGTGCAAAGGTGCATTCATGATTCCTGAATTCCCGATGATAGAATTATCGAATGGGATTTACACAGTCACCAAAGCTTGGGGCGTATGACATGATCGTAGGTCGAGACATTCTCTCTGATTTAGGATTTAAGTTCGATTTCACTACCATGTCAGTGGAGTGGGAAGGCATATCTATTCCTATGAAGATAGCGACACCAATGAAGAAGAGAATTTCTTCATTCCTATCTACGCGTTGATGACACAGTGCAGATCGTCTCAAGAAGATTCTTGATGCGAAATACGAACAAGCTGACTTAAGCAGGTTTGCCAAAGTCAAGATCAGTTGAATACAAGAGAGAAGGAACAGCTTCTTCCTTATAACGAAGTACTCTGACCTATTCGATGGCACTCTAGGAAGTTGCAGATGGACGACTACGAAGTAGAACTCCTCCCTGACGCTAAAACCTATCACGCTAGGGCTTATCCTATTCACGTGTCCATACCAACACTTTTAAGATGGAGGTTGAACGTCTCTGCGCGCAGGAGTACTCAAGAAAGTGAACCGTTCCGAATGGGCGGCACCAACTTTATCATTCCCAAAAAGGATGGATCTGTACGATTCTCTCTGATTTCCGGAACTAAACAAAAGGATTAAGCGGAAGCCTTATCCTATCCCCAAAATACAGGAATGCTCTTGAACACTAGACGGATTCAAGTACGCCACTAGCTAGACCTAACATGGGAATACTATCACATCGAGCTGTCACCTCACTCGAACAACTCTGTACTATTCGTACTCCCGTGGGGAAAGTACGAATACCAGAGGTTGCCAATGGCCTATGTAAAGTCCCACACTTCCAAAGAAATGGGAACCTAATGCACGACTAGAATACGTCCGTGCATACATTGATGATCTACTCATCTAATAACGGCGATCTAGCAGATACGTTGAAAAGTTGATGAATTCTCCGAAGGCTTCGAGAAGCCGGACTTAAGATCAATGCTACCAAGTCCTTCTTCGCAAGAGGAGAACTTGAATACCTAGGTTACTGGATTACTCGAGAAGGGATCCAACCCATAACCAAGAAAATAGACGCGATCCAGAATATCGCTCCTCCTACCAACAGAAAAGAACTCCGTAGATTCATTGGACTAGTGAACTACTATCGAGACATGTGGATTAGAGATCACATGTACTGGCCACTCGCTTCGTTGACTTCCAAAACAACGAAGTGGAAATGGGAAGCGGAACACGACAAGCCTTTAGCCAGATGAAGAAGATCATCAGCAAAGAAACCTTGCTCGCCTACCCTGACTTCAACGATACATTGTTATCCACACGGATGCGAGTGATACTCAACTAGGTGCAGTAATTTCCCAGAAGGGGAAACTATCGCGTTCTACAGTAGGAAGCTCAACCCTGCTCAAACACGTTACACAGTTACCGAGAAGGAAATTCTCAGTATTGTAGAAACTCTCAAAGAGTTCCGTAACATTCTTCTAGGACAGAAATCGTTGTACATACGGACACAAGAATCTTACATGTAAGAACTTCAATACCATCGCGTAATGCGATGGCGCCTTATTCTGGAAGAATACGGCCCTGAACTACGGTACATCAAGGCGAACACACATCGTCGCTGATGCGTTGTCGAGACTTAACATCTCCAACAACGACGGTTCTTCAGAACAGATGGATGCCAGCGAGATCGCTGAGCTCATGGCTGCAGACGAAGAGGACTTCCCTAGCGAGTTCCCTCTCTCGTTCCCCGAGATCGAACATCGTCAGAAAGACGACAACGATATCAAGAAACTCCTCAGGGACAAGCCAAACGACTACAAGAAGCAATCTTTCCCACAGGGGATAAGTCTTACGACTTAGTAGTCAAGGACGATAAGATCGTCGTACCTAAAACTATGCAAAAGCTAGTTGAATGGTACCATGGTGTGCTGATGCATCCTGCGAGACTCGCACAGAACTAACCATCAGCCAACACTACACCTGGCAAGGATGCGCAAGACTGTGCAGGCCGATGTCAGCGTTGCCAAAGCTGCCAGATGAACAAACCCAAGACGCGTAAGCTGGGATTGATGCCTCCAAAGACTTGCGAGGAGATCCCTTGGAAAGACTGTGTATTGACCTGATAGGTCCTTACAACGTCGGGGATCCCAAGAAAAAGAAATCCTGCACACTTCATTGCTTGACAATGATTGATCGTAACCGGATGGTTCGAATTGCAGAGATCTGCTCAAAGCAGCAGACGAAGTACCATGTCCTGAACAAACGTGGCTTACTCGGTATCCATGGCCTGCTGAGGTTATCATGGATAGAGGAGCGAGTTCCGCGCAGAGGTCGAAAAACACTCCGGGATGAATAGACTTCGTCGCAAGTTCATCACCACGCGCAACCCTCAAGCCAACTCTATGGTCGAGCGTGCTCATCAAACCATACGTAACTTGATCGCGTTTCAAAACATCAAGTGCCAAGACGACCTCGTGAATGGATCCTGGGATGGAGTCCTCACGGCGGTTCGCTTTGCAATGAATGCCACGATTCATACCACCTTGCGCGCAACGCCCGCCACGCTCGTGTTCATCGTGACGCGATTCACAACGTCCGGTTCGAAGCCAACGGAAGTACATTAAGGAACGTCGCCAACGACTAATCCAACAAAACAACGACAGGGAAAACGCGACGCGTGTCCTCATAATACAATGTACGATACCGTGATGATTCAACAGTATCAGCACCGCAAGTATGGTCAGCCAAAGTACAAGGTCCTTACACTATAGACGAGTCAATGACAATGGCACTGTACGCTCCAACATGCTACCGCCAACGGCGGGCACAGTCTACCAGACTTGGAAACATAAGGTAATACACCCATACAAGGCCTGATCCCTTGTAGGATTGCCATCGTGCGACGCACATGTCTACATCCAAATCTCATGAGAGTGCCCGCACTTTAAATCATATGTTCTCCTTGTCCGACTGCTGTCGCGCCTTCTGTGACCCTGTCAGGGGCGAATGCAATACACGCTCTTAGCCTTATTCGCGACTCGATCCTAGATAGAGTTTGAGTTCGACTCATGACTGAGTCTCTCGTGAATAGTCATTTGAGACAGGGTTCTCAATGACCGCTCTAGTCATACTAGGTTGATGATGAAAACATCGCTCTAGATATTTAGCCAGCGTGGAGTACTTCCACGCTACTAGATCCAGCTAGACAAACCTTCCACGCGTTCCGTTTTAGGATCGTGGAAGACGTAGATTACTACCGCAACCTACTCTATCACACTTTATAGTCTCCCCGGGAAGCCAGATCTACGATCCCTTGATGATGATCTCTCGTTGATTAGTTTTCATAGCTTTCTAATTCTCT